GAAGATATATTTAGTAGATTTCTGTTTAATAATTTGTCTTTAATCTCGATAGAATACCATAAAACAAAATATGAATATGTGATATTTTAAGGTATTTTCTTAAACCTCCTGCAAACAATTTCTGATTGCAGACTGATTTTTTGTCACTTCCATTTTATTTGCATGCCCACTAGTGGTCGAATTGAGTCGCACTTTCAGAGTATGTTTAAGGTACTAATGTGGAAATAACCTGTCAGTTGAGTGACGATTGGCCCAACAGTTGTTGACTTATGTCTGTTTTAAAAAGACTGTCACATCAAGTAAAACCGATATATAAAAGCACGTGAGAACAGTGCACTGAGATATAAACAGAAGTTAAACCAACCAACACAGATTCAGATGCTACAACTGACTGACTGGAATAAAAACACAACCGTCCTCTCACAGACAGTTCACAGGATTTCAGGCCGACTGAATGAAGTGAAATGAAGTGGAAGTTCAGAGGGATCATCAGGTTACAACAACACCACCTCCGATCTACGAAGAACGTGACCTAAACACTCGCGAAGAATCTAAAGCAGCAGAATTCAGAAAAGCTTTTATCTTGCGCAGGAACTCAAAACAAAAGATTTTTTCTGAGCTTCGAGTCCCGCAGGAGAGACTGAACTCAGAGTCACGTCAGTCGCTGAGGCAGAATTGGCGGGAAGACTTTGTTTTGGCAGCGTAATCCGGTTAAAACCTGCGGGCGGTGCGTCTGGAGCCAGTGCGGATGGACGCTGCTGGCTCAGGCTCTCGCACAGTTGACACAAAGGCTTTACTCAGCGGCGAGGAGGAGCCGTCAACAACAGAGCGACAACATTTTGTTAAAACGTACCCACGGGCCTCCTGAAGGCGTCTGCCACGTCCCCTCCTGGCATTTAATTACAGAGGCGTGTAAAGTCGTCAGCCTCTAATGAATCATTCAGGAGTTTCAGCATTAAATGGCTCAATCTTTGGTTGGATCAGCGGGAGGAAACACTGCAGCCGGGCCTTGAAAACCACTTTCTTCTTCTTCCTTCTGTTTTATAGTTTTGCACGAAGGCCAGCTGGAGGTAACTTCATCCTCCTCGCTCTGTAATCCGGCTCAATATCAGACACTTTCTCCAGCTGTTTCTCTCCACTTCCTCTTCATCCTGAGCTGCTTCAGTCCAAGGATCAACGCAAAGCTGACAGACCAAAACCATCAACCTCATAATTCCTTATTAAGGTTAAAGTTTGTGGAACTCTTTAGGACTCAAAACTGGATTATTATCAAACAAAAAGATCAAGTTTTTGTCCTCATCAATCCGTACTGCAGGACTGGAGACTACCAAACAGAACATATAGTACATAAACAGCAGTAATATTCATCTAAAACCATCATATATTTAATAGTGAGACACTGACAGGGAACATTTTACTTCTTTAAGTAAATGTTACTATAATACTTTACCTCAGTGAGGTTTATAATGCAGTATTTGTAGTTGTATTCAAAAACTCTGATTAATTATGTTCAACCTGCAGCTTCCAGCTCCAAAACACATTTGGGAGACGTTCAGTTTTAGTTGATGTTAAAAGTCTTTAACCCGACTCGTAGCTCTTAACCACAGAGATGATTATCTGGCACCAACTCAAAACTACCAAATATTCTTTAGTTCCAGTTTTTCAACTGGAGAAAATCAGCCACTTTGAATGTAGAATCAGATTGTCAACATCAATGTCGTCCTAGAATTAAACTAATAGAGAGACCAACGGGGAAGATGACAGATTCAGCTCAATAAAGTGACCAAAATACTTATTTTAAGAATCTTAAATAACTCAGTTTTCATTGTTTGTAATAAAAACAACTTGCTTACATTTTCCAGTTTTAAGGTCCATCACAGACCTTCAGTGGTTTGATTTTTATCCTAGTTTTAAGAATTGTATATGGGCTGTTTTTACTGTTAGTCTGAGTTGTTTTGACCGATCGTCTGACGAGGATTTACCTTCTTTTAAAATCTGTTGATAGAGATCAGCTGAAATGTTCCTAATCGGACTGGAGGGGAAGTCTCGGCCCTGATATCTGTTATCCAGACATCATCGACCGCCAGAGGCCAAATCAGCCGGTTGGTTCAGAGATTTACATTTTATATAAAACGATTCATCAAACAGTCACATGTTGGACAATATAATGTTTAATAGCGTCCATGTTCAATGTGAGCAGATCTACAGACGTATAAAAGCAGGAGAAATAAAAGGATTGAATCTGATCTGCTCGTGGACACATGAACCTGCCGACTGCAGCGATCTCATGATGACATTACAAGCTGTTTCTGGATCCTCTCAGCAGGATCCCTGCAAACAGGCTGGAAGCTCCTTTTCTCACATTTCACTGCCAGGATTTACTTCTACCGTCGGATCAGGCGGAGCAGTTTGAGCCTCGGACGGCGTCCTCATTACAGCCCGAGTGAGGCAGCAGTGGCGTGCGTGGCGTTGGAACCACAGCGGCTGTTTGTTCAACCTGAGCGGGGAAGAGAGGCTCCTTTGTGTCGTCAGTGTGGGTCAGAGGCTAACAACACTCACTCATTTAGGTTACCCGCTTCTTCCTGTTCACTCTCATGGGGTTTGAAGGCCGTATCCCAGCATGCACTGTGGCTGGGGGGGGCGAGAAACATGCTGCCGTCATGTTCAGTCACTGATGTGAGGATTTGACTCTCAAGCAGCTTCTCTGTTTCTGCTTTATGAGATATTTGGATGTATTTGTCCAGATAATTAAAAGGTCCATTTAACTTCCCGGAGCTTTCAATCATATCACTTGATCTTCCTGTAGGGACGGGAATCGAAAACCTGCTTCCAAACCATCATTTGGATTCAATAAGGGTATCGTCAGAGAATCAAGCTGATAAGCAGAATTCATATTTTTGATACTGATGGTAAAACTCTGCTGATGAAGATTATGTGATATAAAGATATAAAGAGTAGAGATTTACAAAAGGTAACTTTTCTTTCTACGTTTGTGTTTATTACCCTGCTGATTAATCGATAACAAAGATCAGGAACTACAGAAGAAGGACGTAAAGAAATCAAAGTAAATAATAAAAGTGGAACAATTAAAAAAGCTTTTTGTCGACTGTTTAAGGTCAGAAATTAACTTTGAATCTGAGTTATAAATGAAGCTTTTACATAAAAACAAGAATAATGAGAACTACGAATACACATCCAGCTTATACAGTAGTACAGTCGTCAGACCACTCGCAGGGTTCAGTAAATTGCTCCAGGAGCCGGGGAATCGAACCGTCAACCTTCTGGTTGGTAAAATGAATCTGAGTTGCTCACAAATGTTTGTTAATTTACTGATTAAATCTCAGGAGACGCAGCAGAATTAAAGAGTATTTCCCGTCTTCTCTACAGTTTGTAAATTAAAGAATTAAACACCCAGATTATTATAAGAACACACATTAAACACACACATTAAACACACACACATTAAACACACCGTGTGTGAGCGTCCGACCGCAGACGTTTATCAGAGATGATCTTTCACTTCCACGTCTGTTATTACCCAAAATGCCCGTTTCCTGTCTGAGGGGTTTTTCCCATCGCGCTCCCCATGGTGTTGGTAGACTTCTTAAGTAATCTATTACTGTTATCTCTCTGAGCAATTTAACTCTTCTGCTCCGTGACACCACCCAGCGTTTCCCTCCAGAGCTCAGCTCAGTCTGCTGCTGCAGGAGGAAACTTCTAGAAGAATTACTTCTGGAATATTTGCTGAAACTTTCACTTTATCCTGACAGAGGAACATGAGACAGACAGATGAGACTCAACAATGTTAACTTCTGTGAAGGAAAGTAAATGTAAACTGTCTAATAGAACAACGGCCAAGTGTACAAAAGACCTATTAAGTCTGTATGATTGCTAGAAATGATAATAATTCAAATACAAACAGAGAATTTTAGAAAAAGTTCCATAAACAGGAAATAATCTGATTACAATTCATCCAAATCTCTGGTTTTACACAAACTTCCTGCAGTTACTGAGTTCACTGTTAATAATATGAAACATCCATAAAATATGTCACTGAGTCAGCTGACTAATGATATTAAATGTTGGGAAGCGGTGCTGTATAAAGATATATCCCATAAGCCCCTGGTGCACTGGTAGAGCCTCATGTAGTTGTTGTATGATGATTTATATTATTATTGATTTTATATTTAAAAGGAAGTTGTTTGAGTGTTTCTGTGCACAGCAGCAGAGACAAGTTTCATGTTTCAGACTTTTCTCTCCAACATCAGTTATTATTATCTTATTATATATTATAATATCATATATTATATAATATTATCTGACAGGAGAATAAAGAGGAAAGAAGTCGTAGTTGAGGAACAGCAACAAAAAGTTTCTCCTGTCACACGTGAACACAGAAACGTGTGTTTGTGTGACAGGCTGTGAATGTTTTCACTGGTGAACATGTGACGTTTCACACAATGTCAGTGTGTTTTTACATCTAATGTTATTTTTCCTCTGGAAGTCAACATTACATTATGTCTACAGGTAAAAAAAGAAAGATAAAAAACAAATATACTGAAATCAAATCAAACTACATCAGAATAAAGTTACTCAGCAGGCGACACAATGTTTAATTTACCTGGAAGTTGTAAAATCATGTACATTTTTCTACAAAATAAGAGAGAATATAGAAAATATAAGGCTATAACTAACTTTTAACTAATTAAATGAGACAAAATTAAGAAAATATAACTTTAATTTCCCAGAATCAGGAGGCAGATTCTTTATATGATGTGTTAAAATTATTAATTATATTTAATTTAAAATGATATAAATCTCAAACTCAAGCTGTAAACAGAATAACAGATATTTCTGAATAATAACTCACAATCTGTCCTGTTATTAGTAATACTATTATTAGTTTGACAACCAGTGGTTTTTTTTTCTTATTTTAAGTTTTACTTTGTTAAAAAGTGATTTTATGAGGTAAAAATAACTCCTGAGGTACTTGAACTCACCATTGGCATTTTTACCACAGATGAGGTGTTCACAGGTCTGCAGGAGTCCCCACAGCTCCGCGTCGTTGTTCACGGTTCCCTCCAGCAGCTCCGCGGTCACCGGGCAGCCGGTGCGCCGTCCGCCCCGCTGCTCCTCCTCCTCCTCGGTCAGCCTCACCGCCTGCAGCGCGCGTCCGACCAACTCCTCCACCAGACTCTCCACGCACGCCGTCAGACACACTGCGGCGTACTCGTGCACGCGCACCGACACGCGTGTCTCCACCATCCACCGGAAGAAGCGGCCCACGGAGAGCGTGAGCCCGCAGCGCGCCGACTTGCTCCGCTGGCGCGCGGTGTCCCCGGAGCTCATGCAGTGCAGGGACACCGCCCTCACCGCGGAGGAGACGCACTGCTCGGCCAGACCCCAGCTCAGCACGAGCCTCGCCGCGCTCTGCACCTCCAGGCGCGTGCACCGCCCGTGGAGCTCGCTCAGCCGCTGCGCCTCCCGGGAGATGCGCACCAAAGCTCTCCGGAGCAGAGCGCACAGCCGCTGCACGGCCTCTCCGGTGAACGACGCATCCGAACCGGACACTTTACGCACGACTTCCCGCAGCTCCTGCTCGGTCCAGGGGTAGTCCTCCAGGTCCGGGAGGGAGGGGCACTTGGCCAGGATGTCCGCCGCGTCCTCCGGCAGCGTGCTCACCGTGTCCCAGCTGCCGTTCCTGCTGCACAGAGAGCCGGTGTGCCGCCGCCAGGTGCCCCGGTGAGGGGTGCTGGTGTGCGGCTGAGACCTGTCGGAGGAGGACAGGCTGAGGGACGGACAGGGGTCCCCGGCCACATAGCCCGAATCCAGGCTCAGGTCCTCCAGGGGTTTCACCAAAACGCTGCTGGACATCATGTGGAGAGGTTTTACGCACAGCGGAGAACAGAGCGAGAGTTTCCCATTGAACACAACTTCCAGTCAGTGTGAAGGCTGCACGAGACTATCTGCTGTGCCACAACTTACCAAAATATAAAGGGGGGAGTGTTTTACGCACGAGGACCAATCAGATCCAGAGTCCAGTAATAAGACAGGTGAGTTTATCGCGTCCCTCCAGCGCCCTCATGTGGCCACAGCACCGACTAACAGCAGCAGTTTACTGAGGGTGACTACAGCAGGGACAAAAGGATAGGATTTTCAAAATAAAACTACTCTAGAAGGGTGTATTTAATTGATTTTCTTGTTTCCTATAAGTTATAATACAGTTTCCATTAATCACTGAATACTAATGTCACCATGTGCTGAATATATTATACACTGTTTATATTTATATATTATATATTTCTGAAACATACGCTGAATATTAAATATCATTACTGACTATATTATTCATTGTTCGCCTGTTTGTGTTTTATATATTATATATTTCACTGTTTAATTATTTATATTCTAGATTATTTTTTACTTTATTGATCAATAAATAAAGATGAATCTATTTGTTGGACTCATTCTGGAGTCAGGCATCAAACTGACAATAAAACTTGATTTAAATTTCAGCAAACATCCAGAACAATAACTTGAAACTTTCACACACACTCAACTTTCTCCACCAGACAGAGAAAACACACACAGAAAGTATCGAGGAAGATAAACGTTGTATTGTTTCAGCTCCGTCAGTTTCATCCAAACAAAAGGTGCTTCCATATACAACAAATCTGTAGAATTAAACACCTGAAGTGCTCAACAATGTCGTTCTACTGTAACTTTACTGTAACTTTACTGGAGAAAACTGCGGCTGCTCTGAATCACAATTACTGAAAACATTGTTTAGTTTAAGCACTGAAATACAGTCAAATGTCATAAAAAGCCAGAACACGTCAGTCAAATATAACGGCATTAAATTGCAATGCTGATTTGTTGTTATTTGGATAATTTTCTAAATGTTTGAAACTATTTCTACAACATTTCAGGGCTGCAGCTGATCAATAATGTCGTTTCTGATAATTTTCTCAATTAATCAATTAGTTGTTTGAAGAGTCAGAAGACTAAAGAAACCAGAAAATCTTCACATTTGAGAAGCTCAAAATGATTAATTGATCATAAAAGCAACTAATCGATTAATTGCTGCAGCTCTGTAACATTCCTACTCCTCTGGGCGAGATCTAGATTGAGACATGCGTAACCTAAAGCAACCACTAGATGTCAACCTTTCACTAAAGAAATATTCTTCTAACCCTCAGATGGGAAAACTAAACTCTTACTGGTTCTACGGTACTGTACATTTCTAAACACAACAAAATCTATGGAAGACCATTAATACCAATGTAACGGGACTAAAAACTGATTCTGTACGTCGTTACTTTTTATATCAAACTCACATTATTTTAAGATACTAAGTCATTATTTTGAGAAAGTTTCTCATTATTTTGAGATACCAAGTTATTATTTTGAGAAAGTTTCTCATTATTTTGAGATTAAAGTCATTATTTCGAGAAAGTTTCTCATTATATTGAGTTACAGAATCCTTTCTTTTTCCGTCACATTGGCAGAAATGAGCTTCCATAGATCCAGATTTTCCTCCATGAGATGAATAAAAACAAAAGACTACTTTCACCATTCAAGGAGCTCCAGCGAAATGCAGCGAATATTCCAGTTCTTGAAAAAGTATGGTGGCACGAGAGCAGCTATTAAATGACCCGGATGCCTTTCTAAAGGAGGATAAAACAATAAATTACTGAGCTAGAAAACCGCTTATTTAAAATGAGCTCAATATGTTTCAATGTGTACAATCATAACAGTGAGCCAGCTCACCATGTCAGAGGCTTCGTGTTCAGTCCGACACCCGAAGGCGGCTGTTAGTCCTCCGTTGTTGTGTCCGAAACATCAACAACAACGTCCACAGAAGAACTGAAGTGGATCCAAATAAGGCATCGAGACATTGGTACAAAAAATAAAACTGTGACTCTGCTAGCAAACATTTTACAAAGGCCGACTGAGCAACATTTTGTTCTCCGACGAAAACGTTACAAAACTACAAAAAAATTTCCTTTTATTGTAAAGGGTGATGCCTCTGAGACGTCCTCCTCTCCCAGTTTGTCTGTCTGTCTGTCTGTCTGTCTGTCTGACTGTCTGTCTGTCTGTCTGAGAGGAACTTTAAACAGTGATATCTCTACAGACACAGCTGCAGCAGAAGCTAATGACCGCGCTACGTTTACTCTGCACAGACTGTTTTAATTACTGTTTTTATTATTATTATTATTATTTGGTTAAAGTAACCGACCCTTCCTCAGACTTTACTTCTTAACTTCCTCCTTTCCTGTTGAAAAGAACCAAACTGTGACGATAAAAGTGAAATATATGTAGTACATGTTAAGTTAGCTAGCTAGTTACATCAGAAAGCTAATTTCTATGTTGTTAGTTAACTACAGTTTTTTAGCTAACTTAGATAACTTTTTATTATTTGTTATTATTACAATTATTATTTTGTTTGTAAACAAAACTTTAATCAGAATTTATTTCTACAATCTTACGTTGTAAATAACCTTTAATCCTTAAATAAATGTCTCTTTTAGCTTTTAACTATCTTCAAACTGTGGTTGTCTTTCCAACGTAGATTAGCCTAGCATAGCATATCTAAGTACAGGAAAGGAGGAAGTTGACCGAGGCTTGCTCAACTGTGATTGGAGCACATAGCAAAAAGGGGGCGGGGCTTAGGAAGGGTCAATTAAATAATAAATGATGTCCATTTTAATTTTCTACAATAATAATATTTGAAATTCCTCTGCAATTGAAACCACATTGAAATAGTTTGTGAGATGAACGACCAAATTTTAGTCCTCTATGTGGGCCGAGCTCCAAAAACACTACACTTCCCATAATGCAACTCTTTCTTTAGACCCTCCCTGTGTGGAAAACACCCAAACTTTTAAACAAAGGAGGACGTTTGACTAACTTTTTTAAATTACCAAACTAAAACTGAACCATATTTATAAGCAATTATTGCTTGACATCGATAATCTGACCGATCAATCACACTCGTGTAGTTCAGAGCCAACTCCACTCACACATAATCCAATAATAATAAACAGAGAGGGCACATAATCAATAAATCAGAGCTTCACGAGGTGTCCGGGTCCCGTGTTTCCTCCGACACTTCACTGGAGTCCTGGTTCAGGTTCCTGTCGGTGCCCAGAGCCGAGGCCTGCTCCAGAAGCTGGACCAGGTAGTGGTCCTCGGCCCTCTCAGCCGCAGACAGACTCTCAGACTGAACCAGATCCGAAGCCGGCGACGCCACCTGAGCCACGGGCGCCGAAAGAGTCCGCGGGACCGTGCAGGAGGACTGCTCGGTGGTGGCGGCCGAGGAGTCGTCTATGGAGGGCTGATCCGGTGGCGAGTGGCGGTCCACTGCTTGACTCCCCGGAGGGCGGTAAGGCGGAGGGCCCGTGAGCGGGGACCCGTCGGGGGTGAGCGGAGCCTCGCTGTGGATGATGACGGGGTCCGGGGAAGGCAGCGGGGCCTCCTCCTCGTCCACAGCGTCGAGATCCCTCGGGTCCTTAGAGGGGCTCTGGTCTGGGGAGATGGAGTCAGGCTGGTGGGAGATGATGTGGAGGCTCAGGCCGGGTCTGGGGAACCCGCTGGCTGAGGACGACTTCCCTCTGGAGGGCTGGACTGGACTCAACAGCACCGGCAGCTCCTGACCCAGAGGCTTACGGGGCAACTCGTCGGGTTTCCCTGAGAACAAAACGGAAGGAAGTTAATTTAGATTTCTTAAAATGAGTTACACAAAATAAAGAAGTCGAATCTTTATCCAAGTCCAGCTGAAATTAAAAATACCTTTTCAGTTTCAACCAATAAAATCTTCATCAGTGAAGATTCATTAGCTAGCTAGCTAGCTAACAGCATGGCTGTCACTGATTACTGTACAAACACAACTTTATCAGAGATTCTGGATTCTGCTCTAGTTTCATAAATGATAGTCTATGGGAGGGGAAGAAAGGCGGAATAATACATTTTCTTTTAGGGCGCTGTCTCTTGGAATTAGTTGGGTCGTGGGCCAAGAGGCTGGGACCAACCAGCGCACCAACAAGGAAGCACCAAGTCTAAACCCTGGTTGCTTCCCATCGTACAGTCAACCAATCACATTGCTCAATATAAACAGATATAACTTCCTGTAACCTTTGGTCACTACTCTTTTTGGGGCGAGGACAGACAGAGTGACTCCGCTGACTCTGGTTTCTCAATCCAACGAGATCCTTGTAGAAGTATTATTTTAATTATACAATTCTAAATAAACGTGTTTGTCTTATGTCCTAAAGATCATCTCGATACACGACACAACCATTAGCTAGTTATCTTGTGCAGCTAGGCTACAGGAGCCAGACCTAGCGAAAACAACACCTGTTACCTGTATTTCATCAAACTGCTTGACGGGGGACGTAACACACATTCAGTGCTAACGGCTCCTGTGACAAGTTCCTCCCTAACACGTAAATATGAGGAAGCTAACAGTGCTCTGCTTCCTGTTTCATAGACTGTTTGTCCTCAGTGCATATGGAGGTTGTAGTGTTGTTGTAAACTCAGGTGAGTCCGTGTTGTCTGTCAGTGCTTCGGTGCAGCTGTGTACCTGGAGGAGGAAGGTCCAGCTTCATCTTCCTCAGTTCGGTCATGGAGGCCTGAAGCTGCTCGACGATGACGTCGTCGCTGTAGAGGAAAGTCTGAGCGATCCGCTCCTGCAGGAACTCCCTGAGCTCCTCCAGAGACATCTTCAGCAGGCGCTCTGCACACAGATTATATATAAGATTATTATCATCAATCAGTTGTGTACAAACGGTCCATAATACAGATTAAGTGTCAAAGAGAACGTACTCAGTTTTTCACATTTTCTTTAATCAGATAATTTCAGATTTAAATTATAATTCAGCAGCTTTAATAAACAATAACTTCTATTGTTTAATGAAATAAAGGTAAATATGTTCATATTGTTTAAAGTAAGGTATCACAGACTGTTAGACGAGGTTAACCTGATCAGACGGCATCCAGAAGATAATAAAACTGGTTTTAAATCAATAAATTAAACAAAGAGTCAGCCATCTTGCTTTCTTCCCGTCTCTATTGACCATGTGCAGGTTTAATGTGTCGAACCTCCCCTTTAATGTGTCGAACCGCCCCTTTAATGTGTCGAACCGCCCCTTTAATGTGTCGAACCGTCCCTTTAATGTGTCGAACCGTCCCTTTAATGTGTCGAACCTCCCTTTAATGTGTGTGAACCTCCCCTTTAATGGGTGCCCCTTTAATGTAGTCGAACCTGCCCCTTTAATGTAGTGAACTGCCCCTTTAATGTGTCGAACCGTCCCTTTAATGTGGTGAACTGCCCCTTTAATGTAGTGAACTGCCCCTTTAATGTGGTGAACTGCCCCTTTAATGTGACCCCTTTAAGTGTCGAACCCCCTTTAATGTGTCGAACCGTCCCTTTAATGTGTCGAACCTCCCCTTTAATGTGTCGAACCGTCCCTTTAATGTGTCGAACCTCCCCTTTAATGTGTCGAACCGTCCCTGTAATGTGTCAAACCGCCCCTGTAATGTGTCGAACCTCCCCTTTAATGTGTCGAACCGTCCCTTTAATGTGTCGAACCGTCCCTTTAATGTGTCGAACCTCCCCTTATGTGTTTAATGTGGTGAACTCTTTTAGTGACCCCTTTAATGTGTCGAACCTCCCCTTTAATGTGTCGAACCTCCCCTTTAATGTGGTGAACTGCCCCTTTAATGTGTCGAACCGTCCCTTTAATGTGTCGAACCGTCCCTTTAAGAGCTGTAAATGGTCCAGGACTCTGAATAATTTGTGACTGGTGACTTTTTCCACAGTTGCAGCTGAAAACGATCTGAATCAGTCGATTTCAGCAGTTTATTAATCGGCTGGAAGAGATTTGTTGTGTTTGTGGTCCCGAACCCTTCAGCCCGAGCAGACGATGTCTCCTTACTCTTGTGTATCTTCAGGATGGTGTAGGACATGGCGGTGAGGAGCCTCTCCCCCTCCAGGATGAAAATGTCCCACAGGCGAAGGGTCAGCGTGAACGGCGTCTGCAGGGGAGAAACACGACAGATTGGTTGTTTACGCTGACGGGTTGCACATATCTGCCGCTCTTCCTCCTCCTGGCTGGAGTCAGGAGGGTTTGTTTGGTTCCCTCCCAGACCTCAGAGGCCCCCCCGGGCCCCTCCGAGCTCAGCGACTCAGCGGGACGGAGAAGTGCTGAGAGCGGCTGAATCCTGCCAGACCGCCACCACAGGATTGTGGGCACGCCAGAGGAGACTAATAGTAGTTTATCTTAACAGCTCTTAATGCTCCTTTCTAATGCAACCAGCTCAAATATCACCGCAGCTTTTTTTATGCTGAAATCATGTAAAATTATATTTAAAAAACACAATCTGATCTTTTGTAATTCTTGGAATGAATATCAGAACTTGATGTTGTGTTTTTAGGATGCGCTTCCCAGAATTCACCTGTCAATCAAACAGCGAGGCCAATAATGTGATCTGAGGTGGACGTCAATGCTAATGCTAACTGTCAGCCACAGTTTATATAACGGACGGAGCTTCTGGGTCTGTGAAGTGTCTTAAACCTGCAGTCTATGTAACAACCAGCAGGGGGAGCTCCACTCTGATAGTATTGAGTCTTATAGAGATTTATGAGCTCAGTAAACGGTTTCCTGATGAGTTTCTGGTCTCAGTCTCTAGTTTCAGTCTTCTTCCATACAGCATGATGTTCATTTAGTAACTGATGGTCCCATTTAGAGTAAAACAGACCATAAAGCAGGGTATGCTTTAGGGCGGGGCTACCTTGTGATTGACAGCTCATTCTCAGTGAGTCCGTCCAGCTCAACGCAATCAAACTGTCAAACTAGGCAGTGCTGATATGAATGCAGAAATATTCACATTTCTACCACAGGTAAAAATACAGCAGGGAGCATAAAGTCCCTTTCTGCATAAGACTGGAGAAAGGAGCCGCCTCTTCCAGGAGGTAAATAGAATAATAATAATAGATTATTTAAAGGATATTTGGTCATTTTAATCAATTTCCAGGTGTTTCTATAACTGGAAAACTAGTCTCTGAATTTCCAGGTTTTACAGGATGTGGGAACAGAACAGGATAATAATTTAAAACACTGTCCACCAGGGGTCGCCATAGTGAGCATTCTTGATTTTAAGTGGTGTAATTTAACACACAGTAGGCAGATATCTCAGGATCTGTTTCACTTCTGTGAAGGAAAGTACATTTAAATTGTCTATCTAATACAAGAATGTCAGGGAGAAGAGGAAGTAAACACTGATATTGTCAAAAAAAGAAGCCTATTAAGTCTGATTGTTAAAAATGATTAAAAAATACACAATACAGACAGAGAATTGTATAAAAAGTTCACTAAACAGGAAATAATCTGCTCAAAATTCATCCAAATCTCTGGTTTTACACAAACTTCCTGCAGTTTTAATTGTACAGTTTTAAACATAATGGGAAATATCTATAAAATCTGTCACTGATTCAGTTTATTAATGATAGAAAAGGAACCAGCGATTTAAAACTCACAGGATCAGATTTTATTCTAATTAAACTCTGTGTAATCAATCTCTGACAGGTCTGAGCAGCTGTTACTGTGAAGGTGTAACTCTGCTATGAACTGGAGGTGAGACACAGACTGTGAGGTGGATGAACATCGGTCGGGTCGGTTCCTCACCCTGTCGATGAAACACTGCAGGAACCATTTGGTGCTGTAAATCCCTGCAGACATCTGCTCTCTGTCCTGCAGAGAGACACACAGACAATCAGCAACCGTAGTTGTTTCTGCTCCCTCATTCTCTCTCTCATCAAACACTTGTGTAACCGTGAACTCACCAGATGTTTCTTCAGCTTGGGGACGAGTTTCGAAATAATCTGATCATGATGCGTCTGGAACCGCTGAAGTTTGGGGAACCCTGGAACAAAAAATCCTGAAAGAGGAAGAGAGGCACTTTTTTCTTAATCCCACTTAGTCCAAATCACGCTTGACCAGCAGTTATTGTCTCACTGCGGCGGCTCACCGTGCATGCCGTGTTTCTGATCGGTCAGCAGCTGCGACAGCGCCCAGAAGGCGTCTTCCTCGTTCATGTACATCAGCAGCAGGGCGGCAATCTGACTCATCCCCTGGCAGTAGCTCACCTCCTGCAGGCAACAGAACGAAGGACGGCCACATTACAGAGGAATCTTTACTCAAAGGAGTTGTGTTGGTTTTCTATCACTGAGTAAACCGACTTATTTAATGGATATTTCCGGTTATATTCAATAATAATAATAACAATAGAGCTCATTAACTGAGCAATGAACCCGAACAGAGAAATAACATGTTATAACATAAAACACAACAACATGAAAAAAAAGAATCCTGTAAGTCATTATTATTATGATAAAGTTTCTCATTATTTTGTGATATTATATTCAATGTATGACAATAACAGCAGAGAACAGCTGATAAGCTGCACAATGAACCCAAATAGTTTGTGTAAAACCAGAGATTTGGATGAATTTTGATTAATTATGTGTGAATATTGCATCAATATATTGCATGTGTTTTTTATTTTTAACAATCAAACAAACTTCTTCTTTGACAATTTCAGTGTTTTCTTCTCATTGTTTTTATCAGCTCTGTGAATATAGATTTATGTTCAGGTCTTAAAGAAGGTCTCGCAAATCCCTGTAAAGCAATATTTATATTTCTTTATGTTTTGCAAATGTATGAAAGCTCATTTCTGCCAATGTGATGATAGTCACTATTTTAACAAAGTTTCTCATTATTTCGATAACATTTCTCAGGATCAGAAATACTTTATTTAGAGTTTGTCATTATTTTGGTAAAGTTTCATCACATTGGCAGAAATGGTCTTCCATACAAATGTACAGCCTGTTTTTAACTGACATTCTTTCAGGGTTTCCAGCAGTGTTTTGTTTTGGACGCGAGTTAGTCGGTCCAGAATTTATTGGTACATCCCTGGAAATTAAATATTAATATTGAGGGAAACAGCTGAGGCTTATTTCACACAACAAACTCTATATTCCTAACGAGTGTGGATAATGTTCAGACTGTAATCAACTAACTACGCTACAGAAAGTGTTTCCACCAGCTGTGTTTAACAGTGACGTCCCGCCTGCAGCCGCTGAGAGCCGACCGGTGATCAGATCGGTGACACTTAAGAGCAACTGCATCCGCCGCCCTGAACTCATATAATAGAAACAAACTGTGGCAGCAGAACGAGCCACCGCTGGAAACAAATCTAATTACGTCTCAGGGAAGAAGGAAAACTCCTAGAATAGAATCCAGATTATTATCAGTTAAATCGAGTTAAACTGGCATTTCATGTTTCATGTGATGAAGGATCAACAGCTCACTTACTGTGTTGTAGACCGAATATGCAGAAAGAACGTGGAAAAGAGACTGCTGCCTGCAGACAGGAGAGGAAGACAGGCACATGAGATGTTTTCAAGTGTTGTCCACATGTCTACAGAGAATTAATATACGTATATAGTGGACTTCTTGTCTCACAATGCAACATAAACATCTGAAACTATGTTTAAAGTCGTCTATATGAGACTCTGTGTAAACACTGTCAGCCAGAGATTGTTCTGCCTTCAACAGGAGGTCTCACTCTGCTCTGTTTAAACTGGACTCACAAAAAAACCCTCTGAAAGAAGATATCACAGAAAACCACAAAACACAGAGAACGTAAAAACACACAGAAACAGAGAAACCCGAACACACAGCAGACAGAAGCAGAGAACTCGCTCTACAGAACCCACGCTGCTTTCTGTCACTATGAAAAGGTTCCTGTTGCCGGACGGCTGAACTCGTATTAAATACTGAGGCTTTCTGCTGCCCCAGACTTTCCACTGCCGCCCCCGAACGGGCCTGCGGTCTATTAAACTGTCAGTGACATCACTCTGTGACAGGATCAGGTTCCACACGAAACCCCCAACGCCATCCAGAACCCGGCCTGCCCACCTCTCTCACACTCAGTTCACACCGAGGTCGCACCACCGGAGTCTTTACAACAGCACACCAAAACCTGCCTCACATCCCGACGTTGATCTGTTGCGTCTCAGTTTCTGTAAAACCTGAGCCTGTGCTGAGTAACGTGAGTCAGAACTTTGATGAAAATCGATTACAGACGGAAAATCTGGCTGAAAACCGCCGTGAAACTTACTTGACTCCGAAGCGATCCATGAACATGATGTGGTTTCGAAAGGTCCTGTTGATGTCCAGGTCGATCTGCTTGATCTCGGACGAGTACAGTCGGGCCTGCTCCTTCATTCTCTGAGCGGAGACAAGAGAGCCGAGTCAACGAGGTGTGAACGGTTGAGAGATACTTGTGACTGAGTGAAGCAGCTAAAATAAAATAATAAAATCCAAAAAGCTGTGAAAGCTGAGATTTTCAAGCTCTCCAGGTACCCTGTTCAATATCTCCTAAATTGTACATTTGAGTTATTTTTAGTTGGTTATTAATGGAGATATTGTTTGTAAATGACCTCAAACACATATTTTACATAACCACACTAATATTCTAGTTACTTAGCAGCCGATACTGATTTATCTTGGCCAGTTCAGCCGTCTCCTCCATCTAATCTGCTGTAAAAATGCTTCTTCCTCTCTTTTCATGCATGGACATTATCTGTACTTTAAAAACTATTAAAGAAACTAATTTCCCATTGTGAGTGCACAACCTCGTATTTGCCCTCGTTCTCCTTCTTCGTCCTCTCCACGTCCAGCATCAGTGCCCAGGCCCGGCCTCTGAGCTGCAGGGGGATGCCCTTGTACACCCGCTTCACCATCTGACGGCCGAGAGCAGCAGAACACAAACACCGGGTGAATAAAGAGCCAGAAGGTTTACTGTGAAGTGTGTGTGAGTCACTGGAAAGTTTGACCGCCCACGGTTCGCCTACGATGATATTCACAGGAACAAAGCAGAAAGTTTTTCACATTTGAAACAGGTTTGTGTGTGTGTGAGTGTCAGACATCGAGCCTGGAATAATCACAGTGTTGTTTACCTGTGTAGGTTGAATGGGCCTGAAACCTCCCAATATAACTCACTCTGGCAGCTTCTACTGGCAGCAGGAGCTCGGAAATGTTTAACTTAAAAATACTCAGAAATTTAGCGAGAAGGGGTCCAACTGCAGTCGTCCCTCCGGAGGCCCCTGAGAGCCAACTGGGGGGTTGAGCATGAGCTACGTTTAGTTGTAAAGACTATGTCAGCTTTCACTTATTTTACTTTAATAGTCCATCAAAATCTGTTTCAGAGCAAATCTGAGGTGAGAAATAAGGAATGCAGCTGCTGAATCATTATTAAAGAGGCTGAGTCAAACATCTGAGATACTAAGTCAGTATTTTGAGATGATAAGTCGGTATTTTGAGATGTTAAGTAGATACTAAGTCGGTATTTTGAGATGTTAAGTCATTATTTTGATTCACAGAATCCTTTTTCTTTCCCTGTCACATTGTCATAAATGAGCTTCCATACATATCAGATCTAAGAGGCTTAATTTAAAACTTTGTTCTAACTTTTGTACGGCAGCGACACAACTGGTTTCTCACATATATCCGTTTCTTTTTCTCTTAAGTAAATGAAATGGTGTCGTTAACGGGAAGCAATCACCTTCCTCACTGTAGTTTCAAACAACCATTGTTAACCAACATCTATCTGACGTCACTCAGGCTTACGTGTATTAATATTAAACATATAACTGTATCAGATACATGTAAGCGTTGAGTGTTTTATAGTTGGTTGGGAAACTGTTAGTGTGGGTGGAGGTTTTCCCCTCCAATTATCTTCCAGTGTGACTCATATTTAAAGGATTCTGTTGAGTTCAGACTGAGTGAGCGTGTTCTGAAGGAATTCACTGTCTTCATTCTCCGACCTCACAGTCGCACTGACCACAGAGGAACGGGCCAGTAATGGTCTGAACTCTCCGGCCGTGTGTGTGTGTGTGTGTGTGTGTGTGTGTGTGTGTGTTGTGTGTGTGTTACTCACCCTGTCGCTGTTCTTGTATTTATCCCACTTTTTCACCATCTTCAGCCACTTCTCCGCTCTCTCTATCTCCAGCTGCTTCCGCTGTGAGGGAAACAGGAGAGCTGGTGAACATGTTCACAACCTGAGACTGAACCTCAGTGAGTCCGCTACGGTGGCTGAGAGGTGTCAGCGAAAAGCAAAGGTCACAATGAAACAGGGCGATCAGACAGTTATTAGACAGTTATTAGACAGTTATTAGACAGTTATTAGACTGTTATTAGACAGTTATTAGACTGTTATTAGACAGTTATTAGACAGTTATTAGACAGTTATTAGACAGTTATTAGACTGTTATTAGACAGTTATTAGACTGTTATTAGCAGAGACTTATTGCCCACTGAAAAGGAAAGTTGTTGCCCGTTTGAGAATCAGCTAGCAGACTCTGATCACTATGCTGCCCTCCAGAGGCTAACAGCAGAAACTACACTAACAATGAACCTGAGTGAGTTTTTCGACTCTCCAGTCAAATGTGTTTTAAGTAGAACAGCAGATATGTGCTTATTTAATATGTATTCTCTAATTTTAATGGCTTAAATGACCAATTATTTGACCTATGACCCCAACAGCATTAGCATAAGCAGATATAAAGTTAGCGCAGTAACTACAGTCCGAGTGCAAAGACTCTGTAAGAGAAAAGTTTAAATAGATAAAAGGAGGTTTAACCTTTCACACATTTAATTTAATTATCACTGTGATACTGTGTCCTGTGTAGTTAGCTGGTCAGCGCTAGCACAGTAATATCTGAACTATTCTCACTATGTGCTACAATCAGCTCAGCTAATAACACACAGATGGAGTCAGTAAGAGTTCCCAGAGGAGAACATGAAGATTCACTTTGTTGTAATTCCCACACTGTCCTGAAATTGTCCAGAATTCATTGATTTACAGACACTGAAGCCGTAACTGCCGTTTGGTTTTTGGAGTTATTTTTATGAGCCTGAACTTGTCACAAGATAAAACAAACATTTAAAAGTTAATTTTCAGTCAGTTTTTGCTGTTCGTAGACACTCTCGGCCACCGTCGTCCACTCACGTCTCCGTCTGCTGGACAGAAACACATTCTGGCCCAAAACCAGTTGTTTAGTTCTGGATTTCCTTCTTTACCTTTTCCTCGTGGGTAGTCGGGGCGGGCAGCTCGTCCTCACTGGACAAAACAAACCACAACAAAGGAAACAGTTAAAACTGATGGTGACAGAACTCCACCAACAGAAGGAGAGAAAACTTACTGCATGAAGCCGAAGCGGTCGATGACTTTGTAGATACTGTAGTCAGCATCTTCCCAGGGGTCGATCTCCACGCCGCCCTGCCGGCCCTGGAGACGCATACAGAGGAGCATGTGAGCACCAGTACACCCTGTCCACTGAAACACAACATAATGGACTCCCACCTCTAAAAACAACTAATGCAGAACCAATATGTCAGAAAATATCGTATTGATTGACACTGTATTGATTATTGGGCAGATCCCACTGTGTTTATAAACTATATATTGAACTGTGTGAACCTCTCGACCTCTGTCTATCATAATACTTATTTTTAATGGGAAAACAAATTAAGAGGCAACTTTTTGTTCTTACGACTAATGAGGCAAAAAATGTGCGCTGTTAGCATATTTTACCATACCGGTAAGACTGATTTGTTAGCATGCTAAGTAGTAACATTAACGCTGAATGTGGTTAGCGTGCTACATTTGGTCCTTTTGGTACCATGAATGTCTGAAACACACGGTCTAGTTGGGACAGACGTTTAATTCCTTGAACACAGATGGAAATAATCTATAATTGTGTTTTGTTGACAACTAACAGCGTACAGACGGCGAGCAACTCGGACTGATCCAACGACGCATACTGACAGAAGTTTAAACGTGTCTATTTGTGTTGGCAAAACGGTTTAAAACTCTCTCAAACCGGCAACCCGGTGGGTTTTAACTGATTTTATACATCCAGATAATTTATATAAAATCCAGACCAGGCCTATATTGGAGACCAGTGTCTAATTGTTTTATGGTAAGTGCTTTTAGTAGTTTTTGAATCCTACAGTTTCATTTAGTTTTCTTCACAGAAATGCTGAGCTATAATCCTACTGTGTATATTTTTTAAGTTTTCTAGCACGCCTTAAACTCAAGGAGGCCTCACGACCATCATGAAGCTTTGGCGACCCCCAGTGGGGGTCCCGACCCCCGGGTTGGGTCTATCACCCACTTTGGTTTGAGATTGAGTTGATTTCATGGCGATCCATCCAGTAAAATATCTGAACCAATGTGGTGGAGCGACGACTCTCTCTCTTTACAACCATTTGTATTCACTCTTCATTCACACACAGTCTGACACTGAAGTCCTGAAACGGTCCAAACCCAAACAGAATCACGTTCAGCACTAATGATTGTATCATGGAAAATCCATTTAGACCACAATCTGGTCCCAGTGTTGACAAAACAGAGCGGGAACTAATCCTCCGACAGCCAACCGGAGAGGCTCCGACAACAACACTGTGGTTGGCTGCGTGTCTGGACGGCAGCCAATCAGCCTCCTGCTGGCGGTGAGAGGAGAGGGTCACACACACACACACACACACACACACACACACACACACACACACACACACACACACACACACACACACACACACACACACACACACACACTGTTTCTTCGTGGTCGAGTCCTGGAGGCACTGCGAGTGATGTCAGCGTCATGGAAGTGAGAGGACTAAAAATACTTCCTCACCGACGGTGAGACACACGGAGAGTAACACACATTTAAATCTCTCATTGTGATTCAGAAAATGAGAGAATTTAAAATATAACTTATAACTATAAAAATATAACATAAATATATATAACTTATAAAGACAAAAGAAGAAACTGAATTAAAGGTTTAATCTGTCTGAACTGGGGCTGCGTGTCCTCTGTTTGTTTGTCTGTTTATTAAGATCACAACAGTCTCTATTCTGAGGTCCACACAGTTTATACAATATACACATTAATCATCACAACACATCATAATGCACATTTACTGTAAATAAAACTATAACTATTCACACAGTAATGAGAGCAGTTTGCAGATTAAACCATTAAATCCTCTCACACCAAAGAGTTCTTATTCATTAATTACTTTCCTTTCAGTAATAATTCTCTTTTAGGATTATTTTTAAAACCACATATATTATTTTGTTGTGTAATAAGAGTGACTCCCACTCTGTATGTTACTGTATCTGAACTGTTTGGATTTGCTTTGTAAAATAAATCTGTGCATCAAAAACTACATTTAAACCAATGGTTGGTATCGAATGTTCAGGTTCTTCCTGCGAACCCACCGCAGTGACATTAACCTCTATGTGTGTCTGTGGCTTTGAGTTGTGCTGCTGACAAACAGCTGATGTTTTCCAGCCCTCCTCGTCCTCCTCCTCCTCCTCCTCTCTGCTCACTGTGTTGTACATGTGGCCGGAAACCAGCAGCCCGGTACAGAAATCACGACGACCGGGACGCCGGCCAGCCCCCGGAGGTTGGTGTCAAGTTGATCTCTGCACATCGTGTCACAGCTGCTGTCACGGCGAGACAGAGTAAACTGCCCCCCCCCCATATCAGCTCTGAGCTGCTGAGCTAAATTTAACCTCTGATTGCCACCGTCTCCATCAGCATGTTTGCCACTCTGAGCTTCCTGTCATCTCTCGCTCGTCATGGCTTTTATTTTGAAATTTTATCACATTTATTTCTCACAAAAGTCGAAATATCATTTAAATCTCAATCTAAGTATCAATAAGACGCAGATTAAGATCATTAGTGTGGGTAACTATGTATCTATAAACAGGGCGATGTGTTTGGTTCTCATTGGCTCATCAGGATATTGATTAGACATGTTCCAATATAATAAACAAGAAGAGTCTTAATTGTTTCACTTTTCATTAATCAGATAGAAACGATGCCTCGTCACCGGGACCAAAGTATCAGAGGATCGTTGCAGCACGGACCTTTTCTCTTGTAACACAGGAAGTCTCTTACCGCTGCACTGCTGCATATGCTAACTGTACTAGCTGCTATTAGCTAGTTAGCGGTTCTGTTAGCTGACTGGACCCGGACTGCGAAACATACCCACAGAGAATGAATGCAAGAGAACGTTCTTCTATTATCTATCTGACATTTAGCTCCAGCTAACGTCAAAGATACCAGAAATCAAAACTAGAGTTGTTCCGATACCGGTATCAGAAATCGCTCAGATTCTGGACGGGTAACGGCGAGTACGTGCACCGATGCATCCTGCCTCTTCCCAGCAGAGTCCTGTTTACCTTTTTTATTCCCCAGGATGGTGAAGTCATGACTGGCCCTACTCTTATTAGCTGATGTTTTTACCCTAAACAATCTCGCTCCTAATGTCTAAACCAATCCGAATCAACAAAGGCAACAAGTACTAGCTAATCAGAGCAGGGCGGGTCATGACTTCGCCATCCTGGGTGGTAAAAAGGCAGCATGGGAGGCATTTCTGCTGGTATTGGTGTCAGAACAACCTCAGTATTGATTATAAAGGAGGAAGACTTCATCGTCTCTGTTTAGTTTTAGTTATGAAGTTTTGTGAGAATGTTAGTTTCAGTTTCAGTGAGATTTAAAACCTCTGGTCATCATTCGCCGATCAAACCGCAGGCACAAACATGTTATTACGCAAACGTGTTATTAATGTAGTTTGGCAGGATACTCACATCCACCCACACACACACACACACACACACACGTGCACAAACCACACACACACACACAGTTGAATTCACGCTTTTGTCCATCTCAGTGTCTGCTGGGCGTTTCTTTAACCACAAAACCAACCACGTGTGAACTCTCCATCCTACAGAATAACAACACACAGCACAGGAGATCATGTAGCTCCACTTACACCAACAAACAATATCTGATTACTGCAGCTCGGATCAGTTTGAACAAATCAATACTTTTACTTTCACTGAATATAGTACGTGCCTCCGTCAGCATCCTGTAGAAAACAACACGATCCATCTGGACCGAATAAAAAGACGGCGGCACAAACTCACCGCAGCATATTTCAAGATGATATCAGCACGTTCCTCTGCTATTAGAGTCTCAATGTCTTTCTTCATGTCAATATCTGCAGAGAGAGGGAAGCAGGAACTGTAAGAACATCAACAACAACAACAACAACAACAACAACGAGATGACTCAGAGAAAGAAGAGCACAGCTGATAGATGTGGGCGACTGATGATGAGCTGGCAGTGCCGAGAAACTGAAGCACATTTTGCTTGTAATGACTTCATCACACAGAACAAACACAGCTGTTACTGGTTGCAGGAAGAGTTAAAGTGGTTGTAAAATATCCTGTAACAATGAAGGTAAAAGGACATTTCTGGGTTTTTATCTGCTGGAAGTCCACAAGAAACAGAAATCAGAGATGTGAGATATCGTCGGTTTTGGTTCGTTGCTACCCCGGAGCTAACTATCGAACAGCTTCTTTTAGCAGTGAGTCCATCTGGAAACTTACATACATACATACATACTACATAAATTGTTAAATAGAGGAACAATATAACTGAAGCTGTGATCTTAAAGGGTTAAATTAAATTTTTTATGTCACCTGGACTTTAATCAATAAATGTAAAGCCTATTTATGTGTTTCTGTGCCTTTAGCATAGCTAGCATATTCTTAGCATTGTTCGTACCCCCATTCGTCGTTTGTACATTAAATTATACTTAAAGGTGTCGAATTATTATAGTTCTGAGTTTGTGCCCTTTAACTCATGTACTTGTTCTCGTTACATGAACAGCTCTGGTGAGTTATTAAATATGGCCGTTGGACCGGTGAACATCCCAAGTGCCAGATTTGCTTTTCGACCCATCGATGTGACCAGTGACTCACATTAACTGACTCACAGCCAGAACCAGATCCGCCCACAAAAGCCTTGAACCAGGACTAACATCAGACCAATACAATCTGAGACGTGGTCGTGGATCCAGAGGTCCAGAACCAGACTTTGAGTGGGCAGTGTAATGCAGGTTTGTCCATCAGGCAGCCGGAGATATGGTAACATGAGAGAGCTGAACTCCGGTAATATTAGCCCCCTGGGAACAATCAACCTGACAGTGTTCATATGACGGGATCCACCACCTCTCACCACCTCCTCCATGATATCTGCCTCACACCGACTCTACGGGGCTGTGACAGGAAACCAGAGATGTTAATGAGTCCGTCGGTTGGACTTTATTACCAAACAAATCCCAGAATTTAGGGACATTAACTGGTTTTGCAGAGACCAACCTCACAGTCTTCCTCAAGCTAAAAGCTGATTATATAGAAACCACTGGTCATTCACAGTGTGGGACGGCGGGTTAATATATCATAACATGGATCTTTTGTGTCTGTTAAAACAACGCACACACAATCCCAGCCGGAGCTCGAATCATCTCCAAACAAAGCGGCAAGGGTTTTAATCCTGCTTTTAATCTACATTGTGCGGATCAACACCAGCAGCGGTAATCTGGAACCATCTGGATTAGAGAAACCTCTAAAACTGGATTATGTAATGAAAGTTTGTTCTTTACCAAAGCAGGAACAAAGAGCTGTGAGCACCGATCCGACAGCATGAAGGTACCGCAGTCGATCCCATAAAGACATCGACGGGTCCTTTGTTGGTTAAATAAAAAGCATCTGACTTTGGTTATGATTCAGACTTCATAAACTTTATATATCAACACTAAGAAGCTTCATCTCTAATGAAAGAAACTGTTGATTGTTTGTGTAATTAATCATTAATCATCACAACCTCCAACAAACTGATCATCAAGCAATAGCTGATTAAAGGCTGTGTCACACTGTACGTTATCAGTTGTATGTTATCAGTTCTACGATATCAGTTCTACGATATCAGTTTTATGTTATCAGCTGTACAATATCAGCTGTTTGTTATCAGTTGTACGTTATCAGCTGTAATACTGGGCCGTAGCGCCAACTTTGATTTGACAAAATCAAATCTTGCAACTTGAGTTATTGTTATTATTTGACTTGAAAATACTTGATACTAGCATAAAATGCTAACTTTACAAAGGCAGTTAGAAGCATGGTTTTAGCATTATGCTAGCTCTCCAGTCTATTCGGCTTCATTTCATGTTGTGTCCCAGTTTTGGTCAGAATTTGGATGAAAACTGTGTTCAGTTGCTGAAGCTCAGGTCTTGTGAGATCTCAGTGCTACCGATTGTTTGGGGATCTTTTAATGCAAAGTAGCTTCTTGAACGGCAGCTAACAAACTGACACTTAACCTTAAAGCTCTGTCCGTTATATAAACTGTCAGTGGGTTAGAGAAGCTCATGAAGAGCATGAAGCTCTGAATTGGTAAGTGTGTAATGAGATCTAGGTTCCACTGTTTTTGATTGACAACCAAAGATTTCTCTCATGACTGTAAACTTCCATCTGGGACAGTAAAGGGGCCTTTAGTAATTTAGTTTTCTCTGCCCGGTTTGTCGTTTTGTCCCAGATTGTGAGAATGTGGGTTAACCGTGTTGAATAATTCAGTAAGGTGGAAGACGGAGGTCCTGTCTGGTCAGTGACACAGATAAAGCAATTGCAGGACGATGGTGGTCTGCTGTTAATATAACACATATCAAGTATTATCTCTGCTAGGGCTGCAACTGATGGTTGTTTTATTATCGATTCATCTGCTAATTAACTGTTTAGTCTTTTAAATATCTTAGTTTATTCTATGGAAGCCCATTTCCACCAATGCGATGCGGTCTCTCATTATAAAAATTTACAGAATCCTTTTTTTTCCCGTCACATTGGCAGAAATTAGCTTCCATATTATTCAGACCACATTAAAAAAAGGTCCCTAGATCAGGTTGAGCTTTAAACCAAAAGCCACTTCGTCTGGAGGGGATTCAAAGCTCAGATTTCCATTTCAAGATAAGGTCTTTTGGCTCTGACAGAAGAGTTTTCTGTTCATTAAAAAGACAAATAATCTTCAAAACGACCAAAAAAACTGAATTCTGAGTTGATTTTTTAAATGATTTGACCTCTGGTTTCTTTTTGTTAACCGCCTTATCGTTTAATAATCTGATATTGTCGTCCACTCCTAATGAGGAAATAATGCAGGATCTTAACAGATTTACTTTTAATCCGTGATGAGTTTCTGCCATAATTCTCCATTTAAACGCAGCCATTAATCTCCCTCCTGGAGCTGGAAACCCTGAAAGAATTTCATTTTCAGTGGAAGGTTTTCATGTCTCATCCTGTATTTTCCACTGTAAAGCTGGAAGCATATTCTTTCTATAAACATCGGTATCTACGGGTCACTGAAGACATTTGGACAGTTGTTTTTTCACACAGATACTCGAGAATACTCGTTGGATTTCAGTTCTGTCAGCGGAGACTTGATGCGTCATAAATTTGTTTAAAAAGTACAAAGTAACATCCAGCAGCGTTTGAGGTCGGCTGTGGCTCCGCGGAGGTTCATGTAGAAAGGTTAAAGCTTACAGAAGCTTTAAATATGAGCTGTCATCTGAGGCATATGGCAGCGGCTGCATGCGGTCAGCGCACTAAATCACAGAGCAGCTCTGGCAGGAGTCCCAGTGAGAAGGGTGGAGGCCCAAACTGGGGGAGAGTGGAGAGACTGGACGGCAGCTCTTAGCTCTACCTGACTGAGCGTCCTGAAGTGCACTGGGAGCTTTATATGTAAACTAAATGTCCCTGAACCTGGAGCGCAGTTAGAACATCATTAAACAAAGTGGAGCTTTGGATTCGAGGGTTTGCTGTGGTGGTTTGTGGTTGGAGGAGGTGGGTTTGAACTCAAAATTTACATTTTATAAGCGCAACAGAGCGTTTGAAGCAATTTTTTCCTTTTCCTTTCTACATTTTTACACAAATATCTGCACTTTATTCTCCTCACAGTTTCAGAAAAGGCTTGTTAGTTTAGTTTTAATGTAATTATCAAATTACTTTTAAAACATCAAGACCGGTGCATATCACACATGACAGAGGTCACATGGTGAAAACGATAAAGGAAGTTTGAGCAGCCGGTAGAAATGTCCTTCAGAGAAACCAGTTACTTTTCTCCTATTAAAAACGTGTCTGATTAGAGACTTAAAACGATAGATTTGACTTGATCGGCTGCATTCAGACATTCATACAGTCACTTAAAGACTTTTTCTGAATTACTGGAATGAATTGTGACTTGGAAACACAGTTATCTGCTTCCCTCTTTGAGGGTTTCGAACTGTTGGTTGGACGAAACAAGAGATCTGAAGACGACACCTCGGGCTGTAGGAACTTAAGATGGAAGAAAAGTAAACATATTTTATGGATATTTCATATTATATTAAAAACTTTCCAATGAACCCAAACAGTTCTTCTCATTGTTCTTTTAGATCTTAAATAATCATATAAACTTCAGTTCAAATAACAATTTCATTTAGTTTTTTTCACAGAAATGAATAAAATGCTGAGTTAAAGGCTCTCTCTCTCTCTCTCAATATATATATATATAGAGAGAGAGAGAGCGAGAGAGATAGGCTTCTCTGTATATTTTCTCACAACCCTTAAAATCTAGAAGACCTCGCGACCCCGAGTAGGGGTCCTGAACCCTCAGGTCGTCCTGCAGAAGAAAACACTGAGTTTGTCCAAAAATAAAGGCTATTAGTTCTGAATGATTGTTAAACGTTATTAAAAAATACATAAAACAGACACAACATTTTATAAAAAGTTCCCTAAACAGGAAATAATCTGCTCAAAACTCATCCAAATCTCGTGTTTAACACAAACTTCCTGCAGTTACTGTGTTCACTATGAATATAATATGAAATATCCATAAAATCTGTCACTGAGTCGGTTTATTAATGATAGAAAAGAAGTCTGTTAAGGAGAAAGGTTGGGAACCAGTGTTATTATACACATCTGGAGAAGATCTTTAATGATTAAGAACAGAAATAATTGATTGAGGCTTTTATTTTGGTGATTCCTTTGTTTGCAGAGTAAATCTGAGCTTCCTGACTTGTTTGAATATTAATATTTTCTCCAGCCGACCCAGAGCTCATCCACAACCACTGCAGCACCCGCAGCTGTAAATTCAATTTGATCTGTTAGAAATAATGTTGAACAACTTCAGTGTGTTATTGCAGCAGCAGCAGCAGCTCGGAGCTCCCAGCAGGCCTGAATGCCGCTGCTGCCCCCCCCGCAAACACTCGGAGGGACGGTGATGGCTGGAGGATGCTGATCCAGTCTGCTGTGTAAACACACATTTCCACTCACATCTGGACCTCACTGACAGCTCAGAGTCTCCGGGGTTTTTCCTTCTAGTGCTAAACAGACGCACAGGCTGCGGGATGCTGCGGGATCTGCGGCGGCGCTGCAGCCTCACGCCAGATCCCTTTTATTCTAATGAGGGTAAATAAACAAAAGCAGCAACAATGCGCATGAAAATGTGTCTCAATAAGAGTGCGTGGTTACCGTGTTTCCGCGGGGGGTTTCTGCGCTATCCGAGCAGTAACGCAGCTCCGGCGCATTCTCCGGGGAAAGTGCAGCTCCAGCAGAAAGAACCACCGGGCTGACAACAATAGCCTCCCTCCGTCAATCCATAGGTTACCATCAGACACACACTGTACACACACACTGTACACACACACACACACACACACACAGACACACACACACACGCACACACACACGCACACACAGTGCAGAGGACGCAGAGGAGCTCCTGGTCCAGGATCCGAGCAGCAGCGGCGGAGGCGCACTGAGCAGGCGCCGCAGCGTGGCACCAGTCAGCCGAGTGTGAGCTGTAAGATCCGGCCTTAAAGACACAGAACCTCCCTCTTTATCTCCCCCTCTCCTTCCCTCCCTCTCTCTCTCTCTCTCTCTCTCTCTCTCTCTCTCTCTCACTGGCTCATCGGGGCTCTCTTCTGCCGCCATCTGCTGGACGGACGTGGTACTGCAGAGACATTAAACTGCTGCTGGAACAACTTCAGACTGTTACTTCATGTAAAATGTAAATATTTCCAGGGATCAAACAGGGATTTATTTATTGTGATATTAATATCAGGGTTACATTTAGAGACTAGTTTTTCAGCCCATGGAAACACCTGGAAACAGATTAAAATGAACAAATATTGTGGAAATCCGGTTACAGTGACACAAATGTGTTCAACCTCATGAATTAAACAAAAGAATGAACAGTAATAACTCACTAATAACTTTTAGTTAACTTAAACATTCAGTATTTTAAATATTGGTGATATAAATCCAGTTAGTCTCATTTTATTAAGTTGAATCACGATCACAAAGGTTATATTACACATATTGTCTCTGTTTTTATCTTTATTTATATTTCTCTCTGTTTATTTTAATGCAACAATTTATCAAGACAAATTCCTTGTGAGAACTTATAATAAACAATAAAGCTGATTCATAATGTAAGCGCCACTGTGTTATATATATGTGTTATAATGATTCAGTTTATAAATCATCATATGAACAAATATACATCCAAATAATTAATGATCCCCAAAGATTTAATGTCGGTCACATAAATTAGGTTTTAATTAATTACAGCAGTAACAATTAGATTAAATGATCCACAGAAAATTTATTGGCTACCAATTTGATCATCTATTAATTTTTATTATATTACGTCAGATGTTTCGAGGTAATTTGCTTTGGGGAAGAAAACTGAGTAAATTTAATTTAAGTGGTAACATTTGTATAAAGAAAATGCATTTAATTTCAATAAGTTTGGAGAAATGCTGCATATGACTTTGAATTAGTTGAATTAATTAAATTAACTAATTAATTAAGTTACCATAACATTAACTATTAAAATTAGTTGATTAAACAGTTTAATCAGTTTCCTTAAACAGGTGAAGTTGAACTAACTCATTCATTTGTGAGTAAGTGCTGTTCTGTATAAAACTGATAATGTCATTGATATGATTTTAATATTAAGACTTTATAATCCTGAAACCTAAAAATAAAAAGTAATACTCAGAGATTCCTTAAAACAACACAGAATAATGAACATGCCAAAGAATAAGCAAGCCGAGAAAACATGCAATAAAAACTCAAATGAAGTCTAAATTTAGTCTTTAAACATAAAAATCCCATTAAAGTCGATGCAGGAAATAAAATAATCTATTTAACAGCAACCCCACAGACCAGAGTCAATCTTGGAATAATAGTGACAATAATAATTATATTATATATAATATAGTTATTATTGTCACACAGCCATTTACAGCATATGGATCCGCCAGCGTCAGTAATCGATTCAGACATTATTAAAGCATTAATCAAACTAATAACTAACAGCACTCAGCGTCAGACAACCTTATCAGCCTTTAGCAGTTAGCTAGTGTTTCTGTAGTGGAGACTAAACGTTAACAATGATCCATATCAGCAGTTTGAATCCAACTAAAAGCTCACATTTTAACAATTCCTAACGTGTTCGTAACAACACATAACTCTAGAAACACGAGCTAAAGGCCGTCATATGTCCACAGTCTGACTGTCAATGCAGGATCAATATCATCCATAAAGATACATTGTATACTGATCAATATCATCCATAAAGATACATTGTATACTGATCAATATCATCCATATATCATCCATAAAGATACAGTATATTCTGATCAATATCATCCATACAGATACAGTGTATTCTGATCAATATCATCCATAAAGATACAGTGTATACTGATCAATATCATCCATACAGATACAGTGTATTCTAATCAGTATCATCCATAACAATACAGTGTATTCTGATCAATATGATCTATAAAGTTAGTGTATTCTGTATAAACTCAACTTGTTCAGCCTCCGTTGTAGTGGATGTGAAGCAGACACACACTGAATTGAACGTAACGTTGTTAATTCACTGTCTGTTCTGTGTGTGACGTATCTGATGAGGTTTTTTGGCTGTTACCAAAGTAACTATACCGATTCGTTGCTTCCTGTTTGGTGCTGTAGAGAGAGGCTCCCCCAGTCGTCTCCAACACGGCCAGATATTTAGCCTGCTAGACATTTTTCTGGCAGCTTCAGCAAGCTCTTGTCAAGCCCGAGGGGTTAACACGTCTCCCAAAATAGTTGCTGAGTGGAAAATCTGGGCTAAAATCACATAGCGTGAACTCAGCATAAAGTTCAGTGAAGTCAGTGGAGGAGAGAGAGGAACCACAACTGACTGTGCTTTTCTCTCAGGGACAAAATGGCTTCCAGATCAGAGGAGGATCTCTGCTGTCCGGTCTGTAGTGACGTGTTTAGACATCCTGTCGTTCTGTCATGCAGCCACAGCTCCTGTAATGACTGTCTGAAGAGCTGGTGGAAAGAGAAACATACCTGTGAGTGCCCAGTTTGTAAGAGAAGATCTTCAAGGCTTTTACCTCCTTCAAACCTGACTTTAAAGAACCTGTGTGAGAGCGTCTTACAGGAGAGAGATCAGAAATCTTCAGAGACTCTGCAGTCTGCACTCTGACAAACTCTAACTCTTCTGTCTGGACCATCAGCAGCCAGTGTGTCTCGTCTGCAGAGATTCAGAAAAACTCTCCAACCACAGATTCAGACCCATTGATGAAGCTGCACAGGATCATAAGAACGAACTTCAGGAAACTCTGGAGCCTTTAAAGGAGAAGTTAATTTGATTTCTGAACGAGTTAAACTGAAGTTTGATCAAACAGCCGAACACATGAAGGTCCAGGCCCAATGCACAGAGAGGCAGATTAAAGAGCAGTTTAAGAAGCTTCACCAGTTTCTAGACGAGGAAGAGGAGGCCAGGCTGGCACCACTGACGGAGGAAGAGGAGCAGAAGAGTCAGATGATGAAGTTGAAGATGGAGGAGCTGAGAGCTGAAGACATCTCATTCCTGAACAACTACAAGGCTGCAGTGGAAAGAGTCCAGTAGCGCCCCCTGCTGGAGGATCCACAGCTGCTCTCAGGAGCTCTGATGGACGAGGCCAAACAACTGGGCAACCTGACCTTCAACATCTGGAACAAGATGAAGGACATGGTCTCCTACACTCCTGTGATTCTGTACCCAAACATCCAGGACTCATCCTGTCTGAAGATCTGACCAGTGTGAGATGAGGAGAGGAACAGCAGCTTCCTGATAATCCAGAGAGGTTTGATTCCTGGTCTGTTCTGGGCTCTGAGCGGTTTAACTCAGGGACTCACAGCTGGGATGTCGAGGTTGGAGACTGTGCAATCTAGATCCTGGGTGTGTTAGCAGAGTCTGCCTACAGGACAGGACTCATACATTCTGGATTCTGGGGAATACATTTCGATGAAGATGAATACTTTGCACGGTCACCGTCAGCTCCACTCACTGATCTCGTACAGCAGAAGAAGCTCCAGAGGATCCAAGTGAATCTGGACTGGAACAGAGGAAAACTGTAGCTGTCTGATCCTGATACTAACACAGACATTCACACCTTCACTGACAGGATGTTTTCATACATTAACACTGAGGATGAACTGAAGATATTAGCAGTAAGATCTTTATTTCTTAAAGGGAAAAGTCTGTTAATACAAATTCAACACTTCCTGTGTCTGTTTCAAATTAAAAGTCACAGAAATTCATGGAGATTCATTAACCTGGATCCAAAATGAAACCAACCATAAAAACATAAACACTTAACTCTAACCGCCTCAAAGTGTAAAAGAAAATCCACAATATGACACATTATTAAAACCAATCATTCACATATTGTCAGTTTATTGATCATATACAGAGTGATCACACACACATTACAGCGTGATGCCAGTACAAATGAAGCATAATAAAAGTAAACAAACACATGTGATTCACTTCGGTTTAATAAACATAAAGCATGAACATCTGGAATGAAAAAGGTTCCCACTGTGACTGCAATCAAACATATAACTGTAATACAAAGTGTTCACAGCAAAGTGCAAAGACTTGAGTGGCCAAGCATCGAGGTTATAATCAGTGCAAACAGCAGGACTGCACAGCTTCACAAAACATACGCCCTGTGACTGAGCGGCACATTCACAGGTTAAACCTTACGTAGCTCACGTTCCCTCCTCACTTCAAACATTTCCCTGAATTTATAATCTTTATTATGATCTTTATTATGATCTTTATTATAATCTATAGTTTCACCAGCACGTGACTCGATTTCCCTCCTGAATCCCTGAAGCAGAAAAGTTGTTCTTCACTCAAAAAAGCAACAAAAAAGTTTTAAGTTTGAGCTGATTTTTTTAAAACTATGTTCAGAGGGTTCAAACTCACCGTGTTTGTATTGACTTCAACTTACCGATTACTCCTTTAAATATTCTAGTTAACTCTCTTCCTCTATGTAATGTTACTTTCTAATTAGGACGCTTCACCCGTCCTTGTACAGTCGATCTCTTTGGTCTAGAGGTTTCTTTCAAGCTAAAGATCTTCAGTCCCTTTAGGATCCGGACCTCCAGCTTGTTAAAGGGTCACTTTCTCACTCACCTCTAGAGGTCAGTGTTGGGCAGTAACTCATTACTAGTATTACTTTCTTCAGTAACTAGTGGTGTATCTAATTACATACAGTTATTCCTTAAAAAAAAACTTTTACTTTACTTTTGCTGTCCCCTCCTTAATCCAACCATCCAATCACATCCTCAGATTAATGTTTGTAATCGTGGAAGAAACTAGTTTGGAAGATGGAAACATTCACATTATTCTGATTTTAACAAACAATACTAGATTTTAATAGTCGTAAATCTGAAATTTGGGGCGAAAGGACAAATTACTAATTTTGTGTGGAAAACCAGATGAATTCATTTGAATAAAATAATTGTTTAAACAGATTAAATTGACAATTTTAAGTTAAATACACACAAGTTAAAAAACATTTCTGATCAAGTAGCTTAACACTGACTTCTCTTTGTAATTTTGATTTGTACTGTGAAAACAAAATCACTAGTAAAAAGTACTTCATCAGGAATATTTCTGGAACTTCACTTAACTTGTAAGTTAATGTCACTTAAAATTACTAATAAAATCTGTTTAATAAAGAATCTTAAGTAACTTAAAAGTAGCAGAAAAGTAATATAACTAGTCATGTAACTAATTACTGTCGGCAAGGAGTAATAAGCAACGTAATAATATTACTTTTGAGAAGAGTAATGAGTAATAAATTACATATTTTGAGTAATTAGCCCAACACTGGTGAGTTCAGTGCTGTAAACTCTTAATTTATGACTCAAATTCTTTTTTAAGCGTCCAGCAAAGAATAAACGTCCTGTGTTATAAACAGAGACCTATTTCTGCTTATTTAACTCATCCTGAAACGGGCCGTTAATGTTTGTACATCGTCACTGAACGTCTGCTGCTTGACTTCACGCATAAGAGGAAGAGACATAGATTGTGCATCAATACTGACCCACAGACGGGGGAGAAAACTACATAGTTATGGATTTGAAATATTCCTGATTCTTACTCAACTATATCATACCTTCCTCATCTTAGCAACAAAATCCAGCTCACAGACCTTCACCACATCACAGGGGATTCAGAAGTGGGTAAAGATGAGAGCAACACATCCAGGTACTTTTTGGGTGAAAGCAGTTCCTCTAATTTAACTTCCGATAAATGTAAAAGAGGTTTTTGCCAATTTAATACCATAAAATAAGGATACAATTATGTTTTGTCACCTCTGATCCACAAGAATATAAAAAATATGAGATCAATCCACCGGAGGTTACGTGAGGTTTGGTGAACTCACCCTTTAAGTTCACAGAGATATTTAGTCAAATAGCTGCTGCGGGATTCAAGCCGACGTCACTTCAGTGTAACAAAGCCTTTCATGAAGTCTGGTGACGCTTTAGACGAACGTTCAGTTCATCCAGGCGTAGGCGTACAGGCCGTTCTCCCTCCACAGCCGACACCGATCGGCCCTGTAGTCCTGCTTCACCGTCAGGCTGCCAGACAGGAGAGCAGTGGCTGCTGGGTATTCTGGCCACTCGGCCTTCATCTTACCTGCGAGAAGGAGGCAACAAGATATAAGATATTTCGTATATAATACAGAACAACTGTATAATTAACTAGTTTGTGTAAAACCAGAGATTTGGATGAATTTTGAAGATTATTTCCTGTAAATGTTGCAGTTAAAAGTTTTCACCCTTTAAAGGTCCAGTGTGTAACATTTATTGGATCTATTGGCAGAAATGGACTTTTATCCAACTTTCCTTCCTTCTTATAGAATCCAAATGTCTTCCAAACTTTACATTTCAGATCTGACGCTGCGCTAACGTTACTATCGTCGCTGTTGTGGCGAGACCCGGGAAGCATCGTCACCTGTTCTGGCGAAGTTGACGAGGTGGCGTCTGATGAGCTCCTGGAAGTTCTTGTCTTTGTCAGAGAGCGGTTTCCGCAGGACGGACTCCAGCCCTCCGAAGAAAGCCACGACGTCCAGACAGTGGAAGGAGAAGCGGCTGGGGAACGGCAGCAGGTCGCTGGTCACGTTGACCGGCCCGGACGGCGTGTGCGTGACCACGTATCGGTACACGGGACTGTGGAGAGCCGCTGCAGACAGGGAGAGGTTTATGGAGTTAATCACTGTATTACTGGGTTCAGGTCTGTAGAATCAGCAGGTTTCACATCAAGAGACCTTTTTTAATTCCCTCTTCAAAAACACAATTATGCACCGAAACCTTTCTGACACAGTTTGATATTTTCTTTTAAATTCAAAGCAGAAAATTGCTCAATGAAAGGAAAGTCTGTCGCTTCAGAGGAGAAAAGAAACTTTAATTAGCTGTCAGATTTGAAACCATTGTTAAACCATAACACCGAACATTTTGAGTGCGTTTGAATGAAAAGAGAGAAAATGTAATTATATCTGTAGTTTCCTATTAAGAAACAGTTACTATATAATTTATAGCTTTTATTTTTGAACAGGCAAACTACGGCAAAAACAAAAGCTACAACACAACAGAAGTGAACAACAACAGATGTTAACAAGCAAACGGGGCGGACTGTTCTTAGTGGACTTATTGCCCAATGATGTTTGGAAGAGGAAATGTGTTGCCTGTTTGAGGAACAACTGAAATGTTGTTTGGTAGCAAGGGTTTGTCAGTCGTTTCTTTCCCCTCATTTTCAGATAGCATCAAGTTATCATCAACTCCCAATAAACTAACCAAACCCGCTTTGTGGACATTAGCTTACAGATGTAATACAGCATAGCTAGCTTTATAATAGCGTTAACGTTAATTGGCATTAACATGAAAATATTAGGACACTGAATTACATCATTTGTCACAATCACACAGCAACAGTAATCATAGTTTGCTAGCGAACAAACGGGCAGCAACTTTCCTCTTCCACACATCAGGAGGCAACAAGTCCGCCGCTTACAGTCCGCCGCTAACAGTCCGCTAATAACAGTATAATAACAGTATAATAAGTCTCTAATAACAGTGTAATAACAGTATAATAAGTCTAATAACAGTATAACAACAGTCCGCTAATAACGGTCCGCTAATAACAGTATAATAACAGTATAATAAGTCTCTAATAACAGTGTAATAACAGTATAATAAGTCTAATAACAGTATAATAACAGTATAACAACAGTATAATAACAGTATAATAAGTCTCTAATAACAGTGTAATAACAGTATAATAAGTCTAATAACAGTATAATAACAGTATAACAACAGTCCACTAATAAAGGTCCGCTAATAACAGTGTAATAACAGTATAATAAGTCTCTAATAACAGTATAATAAGTCTCTAATAACAGTATAATAACGTCTAATGAAAGTGTAATAACAGTCTAATGAAAGTGTAATAACAGTGTAGTAACAGTGTAATAACAGTCTCTAATAACAGTCTGACTTCCTGACTGTGGCTCTCAGCTCCAGGTTACTACTGAAGAAATCTTTCAATGCACACGTATATAGTTTAATTTTTAAAAAAGATGCTCGCTGTAGTTTCAATCAAACAAACAAAATATTTTCAGCAGTGGATGAATCCACATTAGGTGCTCTAGTGAGTATTTGGGGCAGGAGGACGGTATATATATAAACCACAGTGTGTGTGTGTGTGTGTGTGTGTGTGTGTGTGTGTGTGTGTGTGTGTGTGTGTATGTGTGTGCAACAGTGCAGCTCAATGATGGAGACTAATGCACAGAGGAAGAAGATATATATGTGATACACACACAGTATCTGTTAGTAGATATATTCACACATATTTGAGATATTTTAAGATAAATAAAGAACCTTTATATGTTGCTTTGATGAATTTGACTGTTTGAGAAGCTTTTTTCTGTCTTCAGGAGAGAATATTTATGTTTGATTTATCATCAGTTCAGAGAGGCTGTTATTCTGAACTTAAAACAGACTCTGCAACATAAAAAACCCAATGAACCGTGCAGAAAAATCACCCAGGATGCTTTGCAGTTTCCTTTCACAACAGCTAAATGTCAGTTTACTCAGAGCGAGCGTAACAAGCCCCACAGGCACGAAACCCTACATGAAGCACAATCCTGCTGCAGCACAAACTCATTGAGCAGATAAACAGAGAGTTTGTTATTCAGACTTTAACAACCTGTAATGTACACTGACGCTCTGATACACTAATGAACTGCACGGAGGCGTTTCACTCTGGGTGTGAGCGGAGGAAACACTGCCAGCTGTCCCTGGAACAATTAAATGTACATTCAGTGTGTATTTTAACAGTTGTTGAACACATTAAGTTCAGAATGATGGAGTGCAAGATTCCCACTCTTCTTAAGAATTCATTTTCCAGGAGTTTTCTTGACAATACAGGACAGTCAGTCATATATTTCACCAGCATGCTGAATACAGACACTCCATTAACTCCAGTTTTAATCCTGTTTTTTTAACGATGCAGGTTCATGATAGGAGACATTAAACTAGTGAATAAAGGCCCATTTTTAGCGTTCATTAATCCCCTGTCTCCATCCACACAAGCAGCAACCTCCTAGGCTAAAATAATGAATCCAACAATAAAGTGACACAACATGCAGTTCTTCTAATGGCCACTAGAGGCTGGCTCCAGCAGTGAGTCTCCATAAGGCCCATTATTAAAATGTCTTTACAGCAGAAATAAACATGTTTGAATCCTTTTTATATAACTGACCTGTTTAAATCATATTAAGGCTTTAAGTTTTCATTGTAGCCTTTTAAGCATCGACCTGATTTAAACCTGGTGAACTCTGTGTTTATGAGTTATGAGTTTCAAATATTAAAGGGAACATTAAAGAGAATAACTGCTGTCGGTGTAATACGTTTTTTTTTTCTGTTATTGGATTTTTTTAATTAGTGGACTTCCTCTCTGATTATCTGAGACTGGAGGAAGTGGAGACGTCTCCTATCTATGGAAGACTATTTACAGCAATGTGACGGGGAAAAAAGGGTATGTAAATGATTATAATGACAATCTTTCTGAAAACTTTAAAGCATCAAAAGTTAAGAAAATTAGTCATTTTTTGAGATATTAAGTCAAAATATTAAGAAACCTTCACGTTATTTTGAGAAAATTAGTCATTATTTTGACTTTTTCTTATTATTTTGAGAAAACTTAGTATAATTAATAAGAAACCTTTTCTTTTTCTTTAAAGCAGAAATAAACAAGTTTAAATTCTGTCTGTCTGTTTTTTTTATATAACTGACCTGTTTAAATCATATTTAGGCTTTAAGTTTCCATTGTAGCCTTTTAATCACCGATCTGATTTAAACCTGATGAACTCTGTGTTTATGGGTTTACCTGCAGCCCTCCCGGCGAGGTCGTTGTTGGGGCAGGTGACCCTGATGTCGGACACCATGGTGGTGTAGGACCGCTCTGGACAGCGGTCTGTGGTGGGGCAGGGCTCGGAGCTCGGATACAGCTCCAACGCCTCTTTGGTTAGATTCTCACTGAAGGACTGAAGTTTATCTGTGTGGAGAGATAAACAGATAAAATGCACTGAAGTTATTTTAACTAAAATATTGTTGCAATGAATTTTAAGTATTTCAAGAAACACAAAGTCAATTATGTAAGTTACAGAAACCTGATTAATTACTTTTTACTGGGTATTTTGATTTCACAGCACAAATAAAAATCAGTTTTACTTACATTTTTTTTTATCAATTTCAACAATTTATTGAGTTAAATTAACAGTTTACAGTGTAAAGGATGACTTTAATGATAGCTGCATACAAACACTGTTACCAACGTGCACAACACAAGAGCTTTAACGTTTGATTGCTGCCTCACATCGGCAACCTTGTGATTTCTTGATGAGTCGTGATAAAGTTAAAGGCATACTATGCAGGATCATAAAAACAACAATGTGTAGACTCATACAAACATAATCCTCATCATTTATGACCAATCAGCAGGATATCTGCAGTCGTCTGCCTGATGTTTCACCTTTGGGCGGCGTGCATCGTTGGGACTAAACGTAGCGAGCAGGTTTCACCGCTCAACTCTTATTAAATTCTTATTCGTAAACAAAAAAAAGTGTGAAACTATCTGTTACCTTTCACAAACCACTGGTAGTCCCCCCAGGTCCATGTGGAGATGTTTCCAGCCGAGGGGCTGCAGAGGAGACACAGAGGACTGAGTTTGACCACAGTAACAGCTGACACAGGTGAACCTGAACCAGGTGAGCTCTCACCTGAAGTCAGCCTCCTGCTCTGTCGTCCCGATGACAAAAGGAACGTCACTGTGGTTACCATTCTTCTCCCACACCGCGAAAGGCGGAGCTTCGAGAACGTATCCGTCCACCACTGCGACCGGCCCGATGAAATGCCCTTTAATGGGGAGGTCCGTCAGCTCTTCTGCTGCCCAGGACGGGTACTCCTGCCATGGCACGGCCTGCGGAGGAACAATAAAGAGCTGACCTTTGGAAAATTTTAGATTAAAGGTGCAGAAAATAGAGCCGGTCTGTCCACTCTGAATGAAGTTACGATGATCTGAAGGTAAAATGAGTGTTTCTGTCCCTGTCAGACACTGACAATAACAACCTGAGTACTGTTCCTTATTTTATGGAAGAAATAAAGAAAAAACATTTAAATAAAAAGAGAAATGCAAAAATAAAATGTACAAACTCAGTCAACCTGAGTGACAGCTAGAAAAATGCAACGTGACATTTAAAAAACGTAATAACAGTAATATACAGAATGATGACTGCTGCACTTATAAAAGTTCATCCTTTTCACTGAGCTTGTATGTTATTTAATTTCATGTAATGCATTATTCATAATTCATCCGAAGGTTACGGTGAAACATGTTGGAAGGAAGCTCTTTTTAAAAATGACTTCTGCTTCTCTGCCGAGGATCTTTTTATTTAATAAATCTTAATGGTCTTTCTGAGTGAAGGTGCCGAATATTTCTGGGAAATTATGGCTGCAGATTTCAGAGTTTCACAGTGAAAGAAAAATACAACCTGGTAAGTTTAGTGTGCAGTCTCTTCATTACCTCATCCAGGTGCTCTGATACCTGAACTATCTTTCAACAGGAGAGAGCAATTTTAAAACTTTATGATCGTTATATCAAAACGGTCGCAATGAATCAGATGTTTTATGAAATCCTCAAATATTAAAGGGAACATTAAAGAGAATAACTGCTGTAGGTGTAATGAGGTTATTTTATCTGTTATTGGATTTTTTTTTAATTAGTGGACTTCCTCTCTGATTATCAGACAGTGGAGGAAGTGGAGACGTCTCGTATCTATGGAAGATTATTTACAGCAATATGACGGGGGAAAAAGGATATGTAAATGATTATAATGACAAACTTTCTCAAAACTTTAAAGCATCAAAAGTTAAGAAAAATTTCCTTTTTTTAGATATTAAGTCAAAATATTCAGAAACCTTCTCGTAATTTTGAGAAAATGAGTCATTATTTTGAGATACTAAGTTAAATATTAATAGAGTTTCTCGTTATAATGACTTTACAGAATCACATTGGCAGGAATTGTCTTCCATACCAACCTGCAGGATCTTTTTGACGGGCAGACGTCTGAGGCAGCTCAGGTCTCTGCAGCCCGTCTTATTCAGGAACACCAGGTTGTCGGACTCGGCCTGTTTCAGTGTGGCGTTGTAGACGTATGAACCACTCATGTCCACCGCCGCGTGGAAGAGACCCTTCGCCAGCGGAGACATCATCAGGGTCCACACTGACGTCCCACCTTCACATGACCGCAGAGAGAAACATGATGAAGACGAAGCCCTCTGGCTCTTAGAGCAACGTTAGCCCCCAACACATGTACGACTGATATGTATGAAAATTGCTACCCACGTTTTTAATGACCAGACAAGCAAAAAAGCCTCTTGGACCAATACCCCAAACCCAAAAGGAAGTCGGCCATTTTGAATTTAGTGGTCATTTTCTGTGATTTTTCGCCTTGTATCTTAACAAACTCCTCCGAGGACAAAGATTGGATCGACTTCAAATTGTGTCAGTGCAATCTAAAGACCATCACAATTATAATTTGGGCTATTTGTGACTGTGTGTCCAACGGTGTGTCCGTGGCGTGCTGTAAAATTTTAACATTTAACAATGAACAGGAAGTTGTCATAACCTCAGTGTAATTTGTCCAATCTGAACCAGACTTTACCGGTCTGATAAGAGCCCCGCCCTGAACACTAATACCAACCAATATTCAGATATAGTCATAGTGCCTAGTATGTCTCATAGTATGGAAATTAAAATTTTAACTTCAAATGTGTATCAATGGCTTTGATTACTAATAATCAGTTTCTGTATCGGCCCTGAAATAATATAATAAACATACTGGTTGATCCAAAAACATGAAGGAAACTGCTTCTGGATTATATATAAAAACCTAAAAAGGCCACATTTCATGTACTTTAATTTTTACAGTTTTCATACCTGAGCTCTGCCCAAATATGGTGACTCTCCCAGGATCTCCACCGAACACGTGGATGTTCCTCTGGACCCACTTCAGAGCCGCGATCTGGTCCATGAAGCCATAGTTCCCTGCAGAGAGCGGCGGGGAAAGGGATCGATTAGCAACCACAGCCTGCTTTGATGTGGCCTTGTTTTACAGCGTCCCATTTTCTCCGTCGGAAACAAAACCAGCTCGCTTGTAGCGCTCTGGCAGCCTGAACTAAATTTAACTCTTTTCAAGCTGAGGGAGCGAGGAAATGGGCCACGGATTCAAAATTAGAAACCTGAGCGCCGGAGACACGGCTCCTGGAAGATGAGAAGGACTCATGCACCCTGCCATCACGCCATCATGTCATGCGAGGCTCTCTCTCATTCAACGGGTCATTTCACATCAAGGTCACAGTGTTTGGATTATGTAACGCTAACATCCCGCAGCATGCGATAATGCAAACACGAACACAGCCTCAGAAATTAGCTCCATTCATCTGGCTCACATTCATTAAGCATTCACATCCTAATGGGGAGGTATGGACTGATCAGCATTCGGTCGGACTGTAAACACCATAAATATTTCAAGAGGTTTCTTAAGTGGAAAACCGCTGGTAAGAAAATGGACATTATAACTTATTTAAGCTATTAAAAGCTGTACAGCGACCGTAACGACTGCTTGAATCCTTCTTGATCCTAATTTGTGTTTTTAGCAGAGCGTGTAAAGAACGTATTCAATCTCTCATTTGACCTCTACTGACCCCAAAGAGGCCTGAGAGTGAGTCTGAAATCAATATCAGGAGAGCCGGACACTCGACAAGTGTAACAACATCCCCGCGAACACAAAGCAAAGAAGAGTAATTTATTAATAAAATCTGCACAAAAGATGAAAATAAACATTCATCCAACTCATTTAGATAAAGACTGAAACAACAAACACTGCAGGACAGTTTTAAAGAGAGAGCTTTATTAATGGGCTATATTAATATTAATATGTAAGAAAACATTAAGCAGTGATTCACCTGTTTTATTAAGGAAGATACAAGTATTGATCAGGACTCGTTGGAATTTCACTGGTATTGGTATCGACTACTAAATTTCTAGTACCGTGACGTCCCTCGACGTTATTGATACCAGCACCATTATCGATCCTGCATATCATTGCAGTTCTTTTTGATCTTCTTATTGATACCTGATCAATTTTCTGTGTGGAAAGGAAAAAGACCTACAGAGGTTTAGTTTTAGTTTTCAGAGGCTCACCATAAGTATGATCCTCCATTATCAACTAAAGTGCAGTGCAGACTTTCAAATGTGCCGGGGCACTGATCTCCTTCTCCGTTATAGCTGGTTTCAGTCACGTGACGCTGGCTCTGAACGAGAACGCGTTGTGGATTAGTGAGACAGGTAGGCTAGTGCTTTATGTCCCTCTTGGCGATTATAGTTTTTCAAAATGGCGGAATGACATGGAAGCCTCCATGGACTTGCCCGTCCAATGTATATACAGATAAGAAATTCTTCGTCAGATCATTGGCAGAGGTCATTTTACAGCAATGAGGACACATTTATGAATGAAGACATTGATTTTAGCTAATAAAATTCTTAAAACACTACACAATGTCCCTTTAAGTGAAACTGAATTTTTTGCTGTGAAAACAAAGTAGAAAGGTACTGAATCAGGAATGTTTCTGTAACATAGAAAACTAAGTTAGTGTCACTTAAAATTAAAAGCTGCTTCATGAAGAACTTAAAGAAGGTAGTTTGTGTTACTTAAAGTCTTTGATATGATCCGTTTTAACCATTGTGTTGAGATGAAGTCAGTGTTGATTGACAGCTTCTGGAATAAACTGTATGTGAGTCCTGGACTGACCTGAGGTGTTCGTTGGAGAACCTTCTCTCAGTATCTCCAGAGCCAGGAAGCCGAAGGCGTTGAGTCTGTAGTTGAAGCTGACATAAACCATTCTCGTGTCGGCGGCAAGCTTCTCTGTGGGAGAGTAGCCTTCCTCTCCTCCACTGAGCATGTGCAGGAAGCCTCCGTGGATCCAGACCATGACGGGCAGCTTGGCGTCGGGCTGCAGCGTGGGCGTCCACACGTTGATGAAGAGGCAGTCCTCCTGACCCATCAGCTTCCCCGAGCTCTGCAGCGGCCGCACCTGAGGGCACACGCTGCCGAAGCGGCCCGCGTCGGACGTCACACTCTTGCACGTCGGTTCGGCCGGAGGAGCCCAGCGCAGGTTACCAACAGGGGCGGCGGCGTAGGGCATCCCCTTAAAGGAGTACGCACCGTTCTTCTGCAGAGGAAAATAAAACACAAACATCTATTTAATCTGCAGGAAACAAAACTATGGAAGCACGTTGGGGCCAAAAGAAAACGTTTATTGTTAAAACCAGTTGGGCAGTAACTCATTACTAGTAGTAATATTACTTCCACAGTAACTAGTAGTGTAACTAATTACTAAAAGGGATGCACAATAATTATCAGGGCAGATAAATAATTGTCCGATAATGGGAAATTTATATTGTTTTAACTTCACAGGATAATTAATATACAGTTTAATTATCGGTCCAGATTAATAATAATATGTTTTGAATTCTGTCTAATAGAACAACGGCCAAACATCAGGGAGAAGAAAACACTTTGTTAAAAAGAAGAATATTAAGTCTGTTTGATTGTTAAAGATAATTAAAAATACATCATACAAACAGAGGATTGTATAAAAAGTTCTCAAAATTTTACATAAACTTCCTGCAGTTACTGAGTTTACTGTTTTGAATATAATATGAAATATCCATAAAATACGTCACTGAGTCAGTTTATTAATGATAGAAAAGGTTGGGAACCACTGCTGTAGGTTTATTGAGACTCGGACTGTGAGTCAATGTGTCTTTGTAATATAATATTAGTCGTGTTATAATAAATATTCTGACCTTAAAACTTGACAAATACCCCGAAATTCTAATAACAAAACATTGTAAAAATGAAAAACATAATAAAAACTGATGATAAAATGTAATAAAACTCTTTAAGCTACAGCTGGACGTCTGTTCCCTCCTCTTCCTCATTCTTGCTGTGATTTCTGCACAATCAGCACTTAAATGCACCTCTAACATTTTAGGGGAAGTCCAGGAGGGTTAAAACCAGGAAGTAGATTTAAGGATTAGAACATCTGTTCTTCAATAAAGTTGTTTATGGTTAAAGAGGAACGTGTGTTCGTTAGACTATGATCTGAAACAGCTTTCTGGTTGGTTTTAATGAGACATTGGATGGTTGTTTAGACTCACCTGTCGTCCTCTGAAGTCTCCGCAGTGCGTCGACACCTCGGCGACGCCCGGCGGCAGCGTCTGGGCCACGTAGCCCAGGTAGGTGGCGATAGAGAGCAGGGCGAGCACGCCGAGGCAGATGAGGATGATGCAGCGGCGGGAGAGCACCAGGAGGGGGTTGATGTAGTTTCTGTGGTGGACGTACTGCACCTCCTCCTCATCCTCCTCCTGCACCAGGTAGCGGTACTCGGTCCTCTCCGGGACCTCGAACGCATCCTCATTCATCTTCGCTCTGGAGAAAACAGGGAATAAAAACGTCTTCTTGTTGTCTTTAAGATGATTACAGATGGTAGAAAAGGAGAGAGCCTTTTGATTTAAACTGTATATGAAAGATTTTCCCTCCATTTTTAGTCCATAATTCAGATTCAGACATTGTTTGTAATCTGCTGCTCCAGATTCTTCTTTAATTATCATCATAAAGGTCCGTTTGAGAGAGATTGTGCTCGTTTCGTTGTGTTTTTCAGACCTGGAAAATGTAACATTGCTGCTCTCTGCTTAAGTTAAAGCTGCACAATTAATATTATAATATAACACAAATATTAAACGTGTGATCTCGCAGTTAAATTAATGAGATGGACTGAGATATTTATGTTTAAAATGTTTGCTCCACTCATAGAAAGCTGCATTGTCAGGGTTCCCACTGTTTCCAAGACCTTTCCAGGACCTTTTCCAGGAGTTCCTCATATAACAGGCATAGTACTAACAGGTTCCCAGTTGTCCCACAGACAATCTCTCTGTTTCACTACAGTTTACTACAGTAAACACAGTTACTTTCCAGGATATTTGTTCATTTTAATCAATTTCCAGGTGTGATTGGAAAACTAGTGTCTACATTTCCAGGTTTTCCAGGTTTTCCATTAAGTGTTATTATTCTTATTTTGATGCAGATTTTTATGTTAGCAGGAAAAGTGAAAGCTGCTCTTTATTGCATAATCTGTTGTTGTATATTGAAACAGCAGATGTGTAGATATGGAAATGTGTGTGTGTGAGTATCAGTGAATATTAATATATACGATATATAAGTTTAGAATTTAACTGACAAGAAGCAGAGAAAGGTTGGAATAAATAACTTCCTCTGACTCCTTTCAAAAATATTTAATGGTGTTTATGAGGATGTATTCAGTAAGGTTATTGTTCTTTTTATTTTAATGTTATTTTTCCATTTCTTTCTTTTATACGTTCAAAAAATATATATAAACAAACAAATGCTATAAAAAGGTTTATCCTTGTTTAACTCAGTTTATTAAGAGTTTTCTTTCTGTTCTGAAATACGACTTTAACAACCTTAGTAACTATTAGTACTACTAACAGTAATTAAAGTATCTGAACTAACAGTAATTAAAGTATCTGAACTAACAGTAATTAAAGTATCTGAACTAACAGTAATTAAAGTATCTGAACTAACAGTAATTAAAGTATCTGAACTAACAGTAATTAAAGTATCTGAACTAACAGTAATTAAAGTACATTAACATTGATTAACACTGAACATTTACTGTCAGCGGACATCGTGAGTTCAATAAAGTTCCTTCAAACATCCGCTGGATATAATAATGTGTAATATTTATATAATATATAATAATAGAGATATATATAATATAATATAAACTTTATAAAGCAGACTGCGGTCAGAAACGCTGCTTTTTACAGCTCAAACTTTTCCTGCTCAAACTTCCTCCAACTCGACAGAAACACCGAATTATCTCATTATTATTCTAAATGTTAATGATGTTGTTGTTGTTGTTGTTGTTGTTGTTGTTGTTAGTGCAGGACAAACAGACCAGGAGTTACTCACCATTTCCTGCAGACACTTTGAGGAGAAACTCAGAAAAACAAGTTGACGCATTTAGTGCTTCACGGGGCGGAGTGCGCATGCGTGAACCTCATCCGTTGGTTTAACCTTTAAAGGGAAAGTACACTATTAACTGATCATATATTATCAATAACTGATCAATAACTGATCATATATACTGTCAATAACTGATCATATATACTGTCAATAACTGATCAGATATACTATCAATAACTGATCCTATATTATCAATAACTGACCATACATACTGTCAATTACTGATTATTGATCCTCTCACAGCCTGATTTAATTTAATTTATTAAATGTATTTTCTTTGTTTTATTCTTACATTTTATATTATTCTTATGTGTTCATTTAATAACATTTATTAATTATGTTTATTTGATTGATTGATTGATTTAATTACATTTGTTTTAATTATTAATTATCTATTGTTCATTTATTTTATGTTATTTATTTTATTACATGTTATTATTTATAATATTTTCATTTATTATTATTATTTAATTGTCTATTATGTTTATTTTATTATTATTTTTTTATATTTTATTTTATTTTATTCATTTATTTGATCATTTATTTTTTATTATTTACATTTTATGTATGTATGTAATGTGTATTTATATTTATATATTTATTTATAAATGTTAATCAGCAGCAGCAGCAGCTCGCGGTGGTTTCACGTCTCATTTAACCACCGAGGAGCTCCATTATCTTCCTTTAGTCCGTTGTTCACTGCGATCGATGAGCGGCGTCCGTAATGAGCAGCGAGACCTTGAAGTGGCTCCGTGGCCGCGGCCCTACAGAAACCACATTAGAGGGATCAATGAGGATCAATGGCTGCGTGCTCACAGTTAAATGTTTTCACTAACTGTATGATCAGAGTGATTGATCGAGAGTCCCACAGGGCTCAGTTTCTGCCCCCGTCAGCCATTTTACTGATCGACCTGCAGCCAGCGAGGAAGGACGCGGCAAATATTTCTACCAGGAAACAATTAATCAATAATTCTTTCATCTCGAGTTTAACCAGGAAAACTGTGAAAGGATTCAAATCCTTCATCTGGTTCAAATAAACCACAAAGATCTGAACAGTGAATCCAGTTTCCTTGCGGGAGTCAACCCAGAAGGATCAATAAAGAGAAGTCTGAGTCTGAATGGAAACAATGGAACAGAGGCTAATGCTAACAGACTGAGGCTAATTCACTCATTAATAAAATATCACATATATTTATTTTTAAATCTCTGATTCTGTTCGGACTCGAGCCGACCTACAGCAGAAGTCCTGGTCCTGAACCCGCAGGTCGTGTCGGGTTCAGGCAAAGAGCATCTTGATATTTTCCAATAACGTTTATTTTTCTTGCGTTCGTTATAATCAGGTTATAATCAGACAAAGTAAAAGTACTGTAAATATTATTATTATTATTATTATTATTATTATTATAAGTAGTATTATATTATTATATTATTATTATTATTATTATTATATTATTATTATTATTATTATATTATTATTATTGTTATTATATTATTATTATTATTATTATTATTATATTATTATTATTGTTATTATATTATTATTATTATTATTATTAGTAGTAGTAGTAGTAGTAGTAGTAGTAGTATTATATTATTATTATTATATTATTATTGTTATTATATTATTATTATTATATTATAATTATTAGTATTACATTATTATTATTATTATTATATTATTATTGTTATTATATTATGATTATTATTGTTATTATATTATTATTATTATTATTATATTATTATATTACTATTATTATAATATAATTATAATAATATTATAAACATATAAAACATATTAATATTATATTATTATTATTATATTATTATAATATTTTATAAACATATTAATATTAAATTATTATAATAATATAATTGTATTATTATAATAATATAATAATATTATTATTAAATTATTAATATTATATCATTATAATAATACTATTATTATATTGTAATATTATTATATTATTATTATTATTATATTTTATAAAACATATTAATATTATATTATTATTATTATAATATTTTTATAAAACCTAGTAATATTATATTATTATTATTATAATATTTTATAAAACATATTAATATTATTATTATAATATTTTTATAAAACATATTAATATTATATAATTATTATTATTATTATTATATTTTATAAAACATATTAATATAATATATTATTATTATTATTATTATATTTTATAAAACGTATTAATATTATATTATATTATTATTATTATTATTATAATATTTTATAAAACATATTAATATCAATTATTATTATAATTATTATTATATTTTATAAAACATATTAATATATTATTATTATTATTATATTATTATTATTATTATTATTTTTTTATAAAACGTATTAATATTATATTAAATTATTATTATTATTATTATATTTTATAACACATATTAATATTATATTATATTATTATTATTATTATTATTATTATATTTTATAAAACATATTAATATTATATTATATTATTATTATTATATTTTATAAAACATATTAATATTATATTATTATTATTATTATATTTTATAAAACGTATTAATATTATATTATATTATTATTATTATATTTTATAAAACATATTAATATCAATTATTATTATTATTATTATTATATTTTATAACACATATTAATATCATATTATTATTATTATTATTCTTATTATTATATTTTATAAAACATATTAATATTATATTATATTATTATTATTATTATTATATTTTATAAAACATATTAATATTATATTATTATTATGATTATATTTTATAAAACATATTAATATTATATTATTATTATTATTATTATTATTATTATTATTGTTATTATATTTTATAAAACATATTAATATTATATTATTATTATTATTATTATTATTATTATTATATTTTATAAAACATATTAATATCATATTATTATTATTATTATTATTATATTTTATAACACATATTAATATCATATTATTATTATTATTATTCTTATTATTATATTTTATAAAACATATTAATATTATATTATATTATTATTATTATTATTATTATTATATTTTATAAAACATATTAATATTATATTATTATTATTATTATATTTTATAAAACATATTAATATTATATTATTATTATTATTATTATTATTATATTTTATAAAACATATTAATATTATATTATTATTATTATTATTATATTTTATAAAACATATTAATATTATATTATTATTATTATTATTATTATATTTTATAAACATATTAATATTATATTATTATTATTATTATATTTTATAAACATATTAATATTATATTCTCAGTGTTTCTTGACCTTTAAATAAAGAACTTCCTGCTGCTGACGTCTCGGTACCTCTTCCTCTTCCTCTTGCTCTTCCTCTTCCTCTTCCTCTTGCTCTTCCTCTTCTCTTCTCTTCCTCTTCCTCTTGCTCTTCCTCTTCTCTTCCTCTTCCTCGGGGACGGACTGAATGTTTGGACTCATTAAACCCCCCCGACCTCCTTCCTCCTCTCTGCAGAGCCACTTCCTGTAGAATCAGCTGCTGCAGTGTGGACAAACTTCCTGGTTCTACAGTACAAGAAGAAGTAGAAGAAGAGTCCTGCAGCTGATTAAACTGTCTCACTGTCTATCTGTCTGTCTCACTGTCTATCTGACTGTCTCACTGTCTCACTGTTTCACTATCTGACTGTCTCACTGTCTATCTGACTCTCTCACTATCTGACTGTCTCACTGTCTGATTGTCTATCTGACTGTCTCCCTGTCTATCTGACTGTCTCACTGTCTGTCTGACTGTCTCACTGTCTGTCTCACTGACTGTCTCACTGTCTGTCTGACTGTCTCACTGTCTGTCTCACTGTCTACTTGACTGTCTCACTGTCTCACTATCTGACTGTCTCACTGTCTGTCTCACTGTCTATCTGACTGTCTCACTGTCTCACTATCTGACTGTCTCACTGTCTATCTGACTGTCTCACTGTCTCACTATCTGACTGTCTCACTGTCTATCTGACTGTCTCACTGTCTCACTATCTTACTGTCTCACTGTCTGTCTCACTGTCACTGTCTGTCTGACTGTCTCACTGTCTGTCTGACTGTCTCACTGTCTGACTGTCTCACTATCTGACTGTCTCACTGTCTGTCTCACTATCTGACTGTCTCACTGTCTATCTGACTGTCTCACTGTCTCACTATCTTACTGTCTCACTGTCACTGTCTGTCTGACTGTCTCACTGTCTATCTGACTGTCTCACTGTCTGTCTGACTGTCTGACTGTCTCACTGTCTGACTGTCTCACTATCTGACTGTCTCACTGACTGTCTCACTGTCTGTCTCACTATCTGACTGTCTCACTATATGACTGTCTCACTGTGTCACTGTCTGTCTGACTATCTCACTGTCTCACTATCTGACTGTCTCACTGTCTGTCTCACTGTGTCACTGTCTGTCTGACTGTCTCACTGTGTCACTGTCTGTCTCACTGTCTCACTATCTGACTGTCTCACTGTCTCACTGTCTATCTGTCTGTCTCACTGTCTATCTGAATGTCTCACTGTCTGACTGTCTCACTATTTGACTGTCTCACTGTCTGTCTCACTGTCTCACTGTCTGTCTGACTGTCTCACTGTCTGTCTCACTGTCTCACTATCTGACTGTCCCACTGACTGTCTCACTATCTGACTGTCTCACTGTCTATCTGTCTGTCTCACTGTCTATCTGAATGTCTCACTATCTGACTGTCTCACTATTTGACTGTCTCACTGTCTGTCTCACTGTCTGTCTGACTGTCTCACTGTCTGTCTCACTGTCTCACTATCTGTCTCACTGTCTCACTATCTGACTGTCCCACTGACTGTCTCACTGTCTGACTGTCTGACTGTCTCACTGTCTGACTGTCTCACTGACTGTCTCACTGTCTGTCTGACTGTCTCACTGTATAATGAGGTTCAGGCTCTGATCACAGACAGAAACAGACTTTGTTGTCGACGTGTTTCTGGTTGTTTGTTTGATTTTGGA